AAGAATACTGGAACAACTGGTTACCCCCATGGATGAAAAAAAAATGAATGCTGCCCTATGAAAATCAATCCAGGTAGTGTAAAGATCTGTTACACATGAGAATAGAAAGCTTGTAAACAGAGCCCTGAAGAAAGTCTTCATTATCTCACAGTAGAAGAAAGTTTCTTAAAATAAGCATTAATTGTTTGAAGATGACAGTACTTTAAGATACAGAGTAAAAAAGTGAGCCATAGCAGAAAATGTCACACAACAAACGTCCTAGATATAGAAGTTATAGACCAACTGCTATACATCAAACAAGAAAAAAACAACCTACTTAAAACCTGGCAAAGTGCAAGCATTTTAGAGAAGGCATTGGGTGAGGAATATGACTCAGAATACTTGCAATGTACACTACAGAAAACGAGGCTTCAGATGTGGTACCCAGCTTCACTACCAACAGCCAAAACATAACACCAAATTGGTAAAAATCAAAACATCGTGATGTAAAGATGAGAAAGAATCCCGGTAAGCTCCTTGTTCAAGTAACACCTTGGTACAACTGGAGGCCGGTTTGGCATTACTTATGGAAACTAAAGACACAATGGCTATTACAGAGCAGCCACTTAATCCCTAGGCACCTACACTTGAAAGCATATGGCAGATGTATGCCAGGGTGTGCACAAGAGGCTCATAGTCACATTATTTATAACAGGGGTTGGAGATTTAGCTAAGTGGTAGAACTTGCCTATCAAGTAAGGAAGGCCCTGGGTTCAGTCCTCAGCTTCAGGTGGGTGGTGTGGGGTGGGGAGACAAAATAACAAAAACCACCACCACCACCAATAACAAAACAAGGTGACTGGCACACATTGTTGGTAACAGAAAAAACTCCAAGTCATGTTACTCCAAGTATAGTCTATGACTGGAGGAACACCATGTTTGTAATGTGGACGGGCAGAGTAGAGCGCTCACTAGTGAAGTCTATCCTATTCCTTGTGTTTCTTCTGTGGGTTTTTGTTAAACTAAACAAATCAATGTTTTGAGCCATTTTTAGACTTAACTTGGAAGAAAATAAACCATAAGCACTCAAGTAGAAGATCTAATGTAATAATGTTCTTAGCATATAGTAAGTGCTCAGTAAAATCCAGCTGTTGCCACACATGTTGTGGTGCATACCTACATGTTTGAAGCTGAGGCAAAAGGCAAGCCTGGACTAGAGCAAGTCTCTTGTTAACTACAGGAGCATTGGGTCTCTTAACTGTGTCATAATATTATGTCAAGTGATTGGCCCTGTAATATCTGCATTTGTTCACATATACTTTAAAATGTTCCCACACTGTCACAGAAGGGATGGGTTCATAAGGGCCCTGAGGATTTGTATAATTGGTGATTGATAAGGAAGAGACATTTTCTTCGGTGGTGTAGACACTGGTTAGGTGCCCACACTCTTGTAAGTAACCCTAATGAAACATTGGGGTATACCCCCACCAAAAGACATGAAAGCAGAAGAGGAGCTATGGGGAAAAAAAGAACTCTGTGTGTGAAATGTTATGAAACCATTGTATATGCTAATAAAAACTTAGAGACAAATAACTGTTGCAGCATATTGATCACATTGTAAATCCTGAGATTGTGTTATTTACTGAAAAAAACCTGTTAATTTTGGTGTAGCTCAGCCTTAGCACACACCTTTAATCCAAGAGCTTTCTGCTTAAATGCTGTAAACAGGATTAAATTAAGTCAACCATAGGTCAAGAGGAGGAGCAAGTAACCAGTTGACAGGAAGTGAACATAGGATTATTAAGAAAAAAACAGAGCAAGAGGGAGTCAAGAGCACAGACAGACACAGGAAGTAGAAGGGAGGAGGGACATTGAGTTTGAGGAGTTACTTGAGACATCACAGGAGACGGCTGGAGGTCACCCCAGCATCTGGCTCCCCAGTCTTTATTGGTAAAATCAAATGAATGCTTGAGATTTTGTTAAAAACAATAAATACCACTGGTTTCAAAGACAATAGAATATTCTAAATAAAAGGATGTTGTGGGGCTCTGAAAAAGAAAACTTTTAAAAGATAACATTTCTTTCAGAGTATGCTTTGTTTCTAAAGGAGTGCTTGGGCCCAGGTGCACACTTTAGTCGCAGAACTAAGGAGGCAGAGGCAGGTGGATCTCCAAAACCAGCCTAGTCTACAGGGGGGTTCCAGGACAGCCAGGACTACACAGAGAAGCTCTGTCTTACCCCCGCCCCAAGTGCTTGGATATGTTTTATAATTTCACTTGACCATTTAAAGAATTTTAAGAGGGGTGGGGGGGGAAGAATTTTAAGACCCACCTCCTCATACACACACCATAACAGGCTGATGTCCTTACAAGGTCTGAGGAAGGCACATGTCACAGGTATGAATGACAATATCTGTAACAATATGTGTGAAATTTACCAGTAAATGCTGCTCCTTTTAGCAGTCAGGTAATGAAAGCCAGTAGCTTGTTTTTATTTGACAACAGCCTATCTTGAAGTTTGTAACATCTTTCATTACCCGAGAGCAGGGGGACACCTTTTCCTTTCCCTTAATCATAGTAATCTTATTATTTACATGGAGTCTCAGGTATCCTAGGCTGGCCTCAGACCAGTCCCATAGAAAGACTCTGAACCTCCCAAGTGCTAGGATTACAGACACACACCACTGTTGTTTGGAATCTTTTTACAATTATTCTGTGTGTATGTGTGGAGGTCAGATATTAACTCGTGGGAGTCATTTCTTTCCTACAGCAGGGTCCTGAAGATCAAAGGAAGGTCAGGGTTAGCAGCAAATGCCTCTATCTACTGAGCTCTTATGGCCCAATAATCTTTTTTTTTAAGGCTAGTGTTTGCTGGGTGGTGATGGCGCATGCCTTTAATCCAGTACTTGGGAAGCAGAAGCAGGCGAATATCTGTGAGTTCAGACAGTCTGGTCTACAGAGTTTCCAGGGCAGCCAAAACCACAGAGAAACCCTGTCTGGAAAAAAAAAAAAAAAAAAAAAGGAAAACAAGAAAAAACCCACAAAAAAAGAAAAGGGCTAGTGGGTTTTTGTTTTTTAGTTTTTTTCTAGACAGGGTTTCTCTGTAACTTTTGGAGCCTGTCCTGAAACTAGCTCTTGGAGACCAAGCTCAGAGAGATCCACCTGCCTCTGCCTCCCAAGTGCTGGGATTAAAGGCATGCACCACCACCAGGCTGAAAGGACTAGTGTTAAACTTTGTTAAGTAACCAAACCAGTGCATCTTAAAAATAACTTGCTTTTTTGGCCTCAGCATCATCTTCTTAGTATAAATTCCTGTACCATGAACAAGGAGTAAAAGGAGAAGCAGCAAACTCAGTCTGAAGTACATAAGATGGGCAGAAAGAGGTCCAAGCAAAAGGTCACCCATAGGCCTGCAGGAGCAGAAATAAGGATAATGGATGGCAGTAGTTGGTACACTGCTGTCATTCATTTGTCTCGAGATCTGGAACTTCACCATCTGACAGCAAAGGTAATCCCCGACAAAGTCTTGCTTCAAACCAGTCCCTGGTAGCACTCTACCTTACACCTGTGAGATCTTGGCCCAGCTCTTTTTTTGGGGGGTGGGGGTGGGTGTTTTCGAAATAGGGTTTTTCTGTATTGCTTTGGAGGTTGTCCTGGAACTCGCTCTGTGAACCAGGCTGGCCTCAAACTCACACAGAACCTGCCTCTGCCTCCCCAGTGCTGGGATTAAAGGCGTGCACCACCAACGGCCGGCTTTTTTTTTGTTGTTGTTCCAGCTCTGTTCTTATAGCCAAGTTTGACACGTGTGTTATTTCTTTTGGTGTCTTAGCTGAAGAATAAAACCAACTTGGACATTTCTCATGGGAAGAACTTAGTGGAATGAATAGTTTTATCATTATTCTGTTTAGAATCTTAACAGAAACTAAGGATTGTAACAGGTCTTTCTTTAGACCTCCAGCTTCCAAATAATGACATGGAAACTTCTTAGTATGAAAGCTTGGTCTTAGTTTAGGCTTGTTCCCAACCAGCTCTTATAACTTAATACAGATTAATATTGATAATAATTATCTATCAATATACCTATATTAACATAGATTATTATCAATCTACATTCTGCCACGTGATCTGTTACCTCTCCTCAGTACCTTATGTCCTACTTCTGTTGCATCTCACCTGATTTTTCCCTGGAGTTTTTCTCTCCCAGAAGTCCCATCTAGCTATTGGCCATTCAGATCTTTATTTATTTTTGGTTTTTTTCAAGACAGGGTTTCTCTGTGACTTTCGAGGCTGTCCTAGAACTAGCTCTTGTAGACCAGGCTGGCCTCGAACTTACAGAGATCCACCTCCTTCTGCCTCCCGAGTGCTGGGATTAAAGGTGTGCGCCACCAACGCCTGGCATCATTCATATCTTTATTAAACCACTCAGAAGGTGCCTTAGCAGAGACACATCTTCCCAGTGTACAAAAAGATTATCCCACAACAAAGGATTTATTTGGATGAAGCATAAGGTGGTCCCTAAAAGGGAAATAAGTTAAATTGTTATGTTCCTTCTCTTCAGATGGTTATGTTACCACTGGGCAACACAAACCAGAAACCACCACAACTAAGATATTAAGAAACCCAGAAAAATAAAAAAAAAGGTGGTGATACACACCTTTAATCCTGCACTCTCAAGGCAGAGGCAGGGGATCTTGGTGATTCAAGGCCAGCCAAGGCAACATTGTCTAAACACCCCTTCCCCCTTGAGAAACAACAGCAGAAAGACAGCTAACACCTGTGGAAAGGCTTCTTTTCCTATTGTAACTTACATTACCCGAAATTACCCATTTTTTTCTTTTTTTTTTTTGGTTTTTACGAGACAGGGTTTCTCTGTATTGTTTTAGAGGCTAACGGTCCAGCCCAGCCTCGAACTCACAGAGATCCGCCTGCCTCTGCCTCCCGAGTGCTGGGATTAAAGGCATGCGCCACCACCGCCCGGTGAAATTACCCATTTCAAAGTAACAGCACACGATGAAATGTCAGTGCATTCTCAGCTCATGCTTTATTGCTAAAAACATACATACAGGTGCAGTTTCAAACTCTCACAACAGTTCCTTTTCCAAAGAGTCAGATTTCTTCAAAACTGCCAAAGATGCATAGATTAGGAAGCTGCCTTTTGTAGTGCTTCAAACATTCAGGGCAGCTCTTTTCACATAACCCCATCCACCCACGGTGCAATGGAAGGTACACGGAAGAGCAAGCCAACAGCAGCACCTGTGCTTGAAGGACACGCCGCACCACTCTCCGGTAGAGTACTTGGATAGTCTTAATCCTTTTTGTTATAGGGGTGGGTGGGTTTAAGGTTAATGCCCAGGCTAGAAACGTTTAAAGACTGGTAACACTATGCCCGAACACCTGTCTGATTCCTGGGATGGGGCGTCAGTGCTGAGGACTGGCCCCAGGGCCTAAGTGTACTCCAAGAGCTGTGTCCCAAGCAGAAAAACAAAAACAAAAAACCCCGCCCCACATTTAAATTAAGGATACAGCAGACCATTACCAAAGGTGTCAAAATGCTTTAAAAATCATCAGTAATTATAACTATATTCTGACTTTAAAGGTGTTTATAAGTCTGAGCTCTACCAAATATACACTTAGTTTTTATGTGTGATCTGTTTTACTTGACTTTAGTAGACTATCAGAGTTAGAAGACTGTTAGAGGAAAGAACTCTGACCGTGCATCTTTATTAGCTAACAGAGTCAGTAAGTGGCAAAGAATATTTCTATTTGGGATAAACCACACACCTCAATTCCTGTACTTCAGTGGGAAGCAAATACCACACTGACAATAATTCAGTTCTCAATGATGGAAGTTACCATTCTAGGTGACATCCATAGCAAAGTACCACAACAAAAGTTACATCTCAAACTATTTTTCCATCACATGACATGTAAATTGAATTAAACCCAGTGAAACAGTTTTATTTGAATTCTATTTAGAGCTTTCACACATTATAAATACTTATCATTGCCACAACTTTTGTTACTTGAATAATTTCCAAGAAATTCTTATGCTACCAACCACATGGTTTTTTGGATGTGCTGGCAACTGAATCTATTTTCTCAGGTGAGTACTCTGCCACTAGATCACATTTCTGCTCCTTTCACTAGTATAACAAACCAATGTTTGTTCACCCAAATAAATGTCTTTTTTAGAAGAAGACAAACTTTTCCTGTTCATCAGGAATCAAAAGTTTTAGGTAAGAGCCACACTTTGACCAACTCATCTAAAGTAAAACTCCAGCTCAACAGTTGTGAATACAGCAACAAGCAATGGCAGTACTTCTGTAACTCTGCAGAGACCCTCTTAGTGTGGGGTCAGTATCAGCACCTTCCAGAACAGATGCCTCACGATTGAAAAATGGGAAGTATGTGCACACTGATGCTATACACCTCCAAGATACTAATTTGTTTTCTGTGAAGGAGTCTAGCTATGGCACGCAGGCTGACTTCTGCCTGTGGGACTGCAGAGCATGCATCTGGCTTAATCTATAGTTTTAAGAAACCCCAAACTTAGTCTACATAAAACTAATTAAACAAACCCCACAGCTAGTTGTTTAGAAAACTGAACACTTATTTCTGAATTACGATGATCCTACTTAGATTATTTCTCAACTCTTCTGAAACCGTGCACCATCCTGATTATAGCAGCTTATTCAACATGCTTAGTTTGTCTTTTATTTGCAAACATGCTTGGGAATAAATAGAGCTAAGTAGGAAACAGAGTGAGCACTGCTTGCTATATTCCTAACAGTATGAATGTCTTGTGGTTGCCCCTTGTTTATCTTGTACTTCCCATTTTTCAGTGGAAGTAAGATAATCTTTAATTAGAAAATAAAAACAATTCAAACAATAAAATCAAGTTATTGGTTTAAGTATCTATTGCTTCATTATTAATAAATGCATATAGAAAATTACTAGTAACTACCTAATAGTGAGGAAATTTCAACCATGCATTAGAATGTTAGCATTCTAGAATCAGTTATGGGCCTGCTACTATTGCTTACACTTTCAGCCAGGCCTGGTTTTAATAAACATGCAAACCCTTTGATTCAGAACTGTGGGAGAAGCAATGATACATGCAAAACTTCAACTGGATATGTCAGTCAAATTCCTTAGAGATGCATTCAGGTACACTGTATCTACTATAATGCTGCTTCAAAACAGAAACAAGTCATATACAAAAAGGTTAAACTTAAGACTTCTATTCAGTTCTAAAAGACTTAGCTAGAAATCCTGGCCCTTTGAGGGTAAAGAATAAATTTAAAGCCCTGGGAAAAAGGAACTGAGGTGACTGTCTTTATGGAACAGTAAGTCTTCTTGGCCACTTACTGAGAGCTGTACAGGTGGTGAGGATACTTAGGCAGAATGGTTTCTTTTCTGATTCACATTAATGAACAGCTCCCTGGGGAAAGTTAAGGAGCAGAGCTACAACAATGTAAACTCAAGCAGTAATGCCCTGAAATTTAGCATAGCCCTCTGCATTTTAAAACTCTTGGCCAAGGGGCTCTTCCAAAATGGTATAATTAATAGCCAAGCAATGTTCTAAATAAACTAGAGACAGTTTGCTTGCACCTACAGCACCATGAGAATGTAAACTCCTGAAGGCTAGGGGGGGTCTCTTCATATTTTGCATATTACGGGTAAACAAAGAGTAAACAAGAGACTACGGGAAGATTGAATACTAATTAACCACATACTTTGAGACCACAAAATCTTGTAGCATAGTTTTACACTTAGAACCATAAACATGGCTGTTAAGGGTAATCTCTGATGTAACTGAATTAATTAGCCTTGTGTCCACGATCATGCAGATATCTGAATATTGCTTGGTTATCTCAAAACCTAACTGGACATCACAGGACATTTAAAGAGAAACTAAACTCAGGATAACCTTTTCCCTACCCTTAGGCTTGTAATAAAATAACTCATTAGAGTCTGAGATCTACAAAACTACTCTTACTTTCTCTCCCTGGGAAAACAAAGGAACACAGACCCAGAGCTTTTCAGATGTTCAAGTGGCTACAATAGACATGAGGTAAAGGGAGCCAGGAGTCACCCCAGTTCCATTCTTACATTTCGATGTGAGCAGTGTGATTCCTCAGATCAAGAAAGGAATGAGTTTGCTGTGTTCTCCTTGTTAAAAAATATAGTCACACACACAGGCCACAAGCTTCATCACATACACGTATCAGACCTAGAGATAACCCCACCCTCCGTACTGCCTAGTCATTGTTTACCTTCAATTCCTAACTTCCTTGATCTCAGTACAAGGAAAAGCTGGCAAGTTCTTGAGGCTCCCTTCCCACCCCAGACACACCAATCACACACACAAACCAATTTTTCTTTTTGAAAAAGTAGCCAGGAAGCCAATGAACAAAGGTTACAAAGTATACATCATTCTACACAGTGAATGACTATTAATAAGAACAATTTAAGCAAGACCCCTACTTGTTGGCTTCACTGGGAAAGTACATTTGTTTTCAGATTAAACACTTAGAAAGATTTTAACTGCTGTAAACTCTGGGGAAACAAAATAGTCTTTAACACATACATGAAAGTTGGTATTTTTCACAGAGATATATTCATATACATTCATAGTTTAAATGCTTTTTAGGTTGGATGTATTTTCCTTTTGTGGACTCTATAAGACTGCAGAGGCCCACAAACTTAAATAGTAATCACTCAACCAGCTTTGTGAACACAATTTACTACACACGAGAAACTGTTATTGCTACTAAATTCCACGTTTAACATTTTTAGTTCACTTATGGCTTTTATTTTTTGCAATAGGAAATATCCTTTCCTATATACTGTGCTACTTTATATGCTTTACTTTTTCAAGTTTTTTCCCCTTTGTTTCTTAAGTTTAAATGCTTTTCAGAAGTAGATTCACCCAGGTGCTAACCACCTACTTGATATTCTACAGAGATCTATTCCTGGGTCACTGGATAGCTAGCTAATACTAGACTCATACCGAGTTTGTATGTGAAAAAGTCATATTAAAAACAATTTTACATTTTCTATCATACTAATGTAATACATAAGTCCTAGACTCTCTTTTCTTTTGGTTTTCTGAGACAGGATCTCATGTAGCTCAGGTTGACCTTCAACTCACCATGCAACAAAGGATAACCTTGAACTCCTGATCCTCCTGCCTCAGCTTTTCAAATGTTGGGATTATAGGCATGCACCACCACACCTGGCAGGACTCTAATTCTAAAATCAAATCAAAACAAACAAACAACAAACAAAAACCCCAAGACCCCAGAACACTCCAGAAAACTGTTCCTTCCAAGTTTCCTAGGCAGCTTTTAGAGGTAGGAATTTCATTTTACAGAAAACCTTCTTTTTCAAAACAAAACAACTACTTTATTTCCATAAGGAAAGTAGAAAAAAACCAAGAGTACAAGAGAGTCCAAACTGCCCACAAGGTTCTGCAATTAGCACACGTGCTGTAAAAAGGAAAGGAAATGGCCAGAGATTAAATGTTCCAAAGCAATTAGCATAGCATCTCAGACATGCAAAATAGAAAATAATTCTCTGGACACAAAACAGGGAAAATGAACCCAAGACATACACTACAAAGACAATATATGAACAAGGTAGCTTCAAACTAAGAGAGCAAGACATAACCATGAAATGAGGCCTTGCTTTGAGGACTGAAAAGTTACAAAGGCAGCTATTCTAGCTACCTTGTGAAAGGCTAACATTTCCCCAAGCACAATGTTTCTCAATGTGAACCCACATTTCTGTTCAGACATTAGTTGTTTTGGCCTTTATCTCCTATCCCCAGGGAGGATATCACAGATTCAAACACAAAAAGTAAAGGTCTAGGATTTTCCACTCTTTTTACACTACTAGTTATTATCAATATTTCATCCTGAAGTTTAAAATTATGCTAAATTCATGCACTAACCCCTAACATGGCACTAAAATATGCTACCAAGTACTACTGCTTACAAAACTATACACATCTCAAAATGGAAGACATTGGTGATTTTGTTGTTCTTAAACAACTTGTAACACTTGTCCACAAGTATTAAAATATACATATATATATTTATATTGCACATAGCCCGTTTTTTGTTTAGTAACTTCAAAAGAAAAACTGCCAGCTTCCATGGAGAAGGGAGGCACGGCTATATGTGGAAGCACAGCCCTAAAATGGTAGTTTTTCTTGCTATGAAGAAGAAAACCTAAGCAAGACGATAAAATGAAACCGTACCACACACCAGGCAACTACAGCTGGAATGTCCCCAGGCTACAAAATGTCATCTGGTGTTAACAATGCAGGACACAGAAGCATCTTTGACAAAGGGCACTCAACACTTGAAGGTTTAAGCTACAAACCTGAAGCAAAGTGATACCTCCTTGGTGGTGACAGCCCTGTCCAAGAGCCTTACCCCATAAAGTTGCCCAAGGGTAAGGTACAGGAGCAGTCACCAGGTGGCTTCCATTGTACTTAAAGAGAAAAATCTGGGTCTGTCATTCTGGCTGGCCTTGATGTTGTGGCCAATGCTCGTGCCTTAGCCTCCAAAATGCAGTGGTTACAGGTGTGGGTATCAAACCCAGAAACTCAGGTTAAATTTAACTCCTTATTTCCCCAGTGTTTTATCATTATTTGCTCTCATTAGATTTTATTTTATTTTTTGAGACAGGGTTTTTCTGTGGCTTTGGAGGCTGTCCTGGAACTAGCTCTTGTAGACCAGGCGGGTCTCAAACTCAGAGATCCACCTGCCTCTGCCTCCCAAGTGCTGGGATTAAAGGTGTGGGCCATCACCGACAGGCTAAAATGTTATTTATAATAAGTATTTCAGAAAAAAAACTTTTAGTATAAATTCAAATTTGTTGCCCAATCTGACTAACCATTAGAATATTTAAATTTCCTAACTTTGATCCTTTCTATGACTCAAATTCACAGCACTGGGAAATGGTTCCAGAAATCAGCTCCAACAGCACCTGTTCCTAACTCATCTAGCAAGCTTAAAATTCCTTCTCTACTGGCAACCATTGTAAACAACAGTTCCCTTCCCTGTAAAAGCCTGGCATCACATAAAATAAGACTTCTCTTGATTTGGAAGCAAAGAGAGGTTTTCACGATGGTTCCTCATAACTGTTAATTAAAGGAAAAAACGAACATGTATAATTTCTTGGAACTAGTCTTCTTGAGGTCTCCCTACCCTGAACCTGAATTTCATTTAAATCTACAGTGACTGGCAACAGGATCCACATTTTCTTACTGGACCCGCTTTTTTTTTTTTTTTTAAGTTTTGTTCAGATCCTGAATTTCTTCCAAGAATAGATAGAGTTGATTGACCACAGCACTAGGAACATTGCTTCTGAGGTCCATTCTCTGGTAAGGAAGTTCAATTCAAACTGGGAAATTTTACCTGAGTCCCAGAATTTCAGCCTTACATTACATTACCATGTAGAAAAATAGATGTCCAAGTACCTATCTTGGGATGAAGGAAGTTATTTATGCTTTTATAAAAAAATGCAAGAACATAATGTGGAAATGCTGACAAGTCAGATGATGCTACATATGACATCGCTGCTTCTTTTTCTTAGAAGAAAGGATTTCTGTGCCGAGTTATTTTTTCCTTCACTCACTCCTGTATGTCCTAAGTTGAAGGCAAGTTACAATGCAGGGCCATTAGATAACACATATTCACTTTCTTTCCAGCCACAGCTGCACAAAAGCCAAACTCTCATGTGATACGTCCCATTCCACAAAAAAAGAATATGATCTTGAAAAACAAGAGTGTTGTTACTGGGCTCATTTTTTTCCCTTTTCTGCTGTTTTTGAAATAGTTTTACCATGTGGCTCAAGCTGGACCTGAACTTCTGATCTTCCTGCCCCAGTCTCCCAAAGCACAGGCAGTTCGAGGCAAGCATCACCCCAGCCTGGTCTCCTCCCACTCTCAACTAGCTGCAGGCCAGCTGGTCCTTCCTGAGGAGGATGAAAAAGCAAAGAAAATGAGATAAAACTCAAACACTCAAGACCATCAAACTGTCCAAAGTCTTCTCATGAAACCACAGCTTTCTTCTTCAAGAGAAAAATCATATTAAAAAAAAAACCATGGAATTATACATATAAAAATGTGACTTTGCACACAAACTGCAATAGTTTCACTTCCATGTGAAATCAACCTTGATATCTTTCTTGCCTTTTGCTTTTATCATACCAGAGATTTGTTTTTGCCCAAGAAATCTGTCAAAGGGTGAGTCAGGATTTAGATAGTATTTCTTTCACCTCAAATTATAATGAATATCTGGAATTTACCACTGCAGTCTCAACTGTGCTTATAATAGTGTTAAAACTGGCAGACTTAAAAAACAAAACAAAACCTGAAGTCATCCACACATGGTATTTGTATAGTTTGCTGTTTGGAGCTTTTAAAAGGAAGAATTCACGATGCACAATCTAAGCACCTGTTTCAAATTAAACATCTCCCTTCCACTTGCAACCGGCGTCTTCCTAGTGAAGCAGACTGAAGCATAAGACCCTCGCCAGCTGGTTTTCTCTTCTGCATACTCCAGCGTCTCTGTGCCGCGTCTGAGGTGGAACAAAGAACAGTCTCTCCACTCCAAACCATGGAGGCACCGGTAGAAAGCCACCAGCATTTCACCAAGGAAAGCGACTGCATCAAAGAACCAGGGTGCCCCACTGAGAAGACAACATAGAAATTCCTGAAAAAATAAATCAAATTTAAAATAGAAAGATTAGCACAGGACTCCTACACAAACTTTTTTTTTTGGTGTTTTTGAGACAGGGTTTAAAGACGTGTGCCACCACCGCCCGGCCCTACGTACACTTTTAAATTAGTATTTAAAACATACACACATGTGCACACAAATACTTTACTTAGGTGTGCTGTGTTCTTGTAGCCTGTAGTATTGAGGCTGAGGCACTGGGGTTACAGAGTTCAAAGCCAGGATGAGATAGGAAGTGAGAACATGCCATAAGCCAATGACATCTTTTCTATTCCTCAAAAAGAAACCTTGTGAGGCTGGATAGATGCCTCAGCAGTTAAGAACACTCATGCTTACAGAGGACCCAAGTACAGTTCCCAGCACCCAGATGGTGGATCACAACACAGGGCACACTCACATGCAGGGAAAACATTCATACACATAAGGTAAATCTAAAACAACAACACGTGTTTTTAATTAAAAACAAACAAACTGTTGGGTGGCACAAGTCATGACTCAATGATAGAGTTTTTTGGGGTTTTTGTTGTTGTGGTTTTGATTTTGGGGGGGGGGTTCGAGACAGGGTTTCTCTGTGGCTTTGGAGGCTGTCCTGGAGCTAACTCTTGTAGACCAGGCTGGTCTCAAACTCATTGAGATTCACCTGCCTCTGCCTCCCGAGTGCTGGGATTAAAGATGTATGCCACCAACTATCAGACTGAGCACTTTTGTAGCATAAGGGAAGCCCTGGCTTCAAACCATAGAATGATTAAAAGCAAGTAAAACCATTTTTAGCAGATTATAGTGGCATTAAGCCTATAATCCTAGCACATGAGAGGCAAAAGCAGGAGGATCACCACAAATTTAAGTCAACCTGGTCTACATGGTAAATTCCAGGCTAACTAGGGCTCCATAGTGGGAACCATTTAAAAAAAAAGGCACATTTCTCTCGAGCTGAGCAGGTTGCACAGGCCTATAACCCCAGTATTTAGGAGGCAGGAACAAGAGGACAACCATGAAATCTGAGGCCAACCTGAGCTATACAATGAGGTGAGGTCAGCCTGAGCTATACAATGAGGTGAGGTCAGCCTGAGCTACAAAGTGAAACAAAAGTGTTTTTTCCTCTCCCTTTCCTGCACATCTTGGAATCCACATTTTTATTGTTTGTCTTTTAGGGTGGGGTTGATCTATGCAACCCTGGCTATTCTGGAACTTGCTGTGTAGAACAGGCTGACTTCAAACTCACAGAGATAAGCCTGGCTCTCCTAGGATTAAAGGCTCGCACCATGACCACCACACATGGTTCTCATTACAACCCTGAGCAGGTTAGGTTCCAGGGAGAGAACTTAGGTTGCCAGGTTAGTTCGTCAAACGCCCCGCTCTCTGTGCTATCTTGCCAGCCCATCATTTTGACTATTACTATGATTCTTTTTACTCTAATTACTTCACATAAACGGTATAAAAAAGTTAAAGTCTGACTGATTTTCATAATACAATTAATGTATGTAAGTGGATATTACAGGTTAAGTAGGTGTTCTGCCAAAATTCTTAGGTTGAAATCCTAGGGTCTAGTATCTGGGACTGATATTACTTGGAAATAAGGTCATAACAGGTTCAACCTGTTAAGAAGAAACTAGGGCTTAGTGGGTCCTTCATCCAATGACTACTGTCCTTATAAAATGAGTTAGGCTGGGTGGTGGTGGCACAAGACTTTGATCCCAGCACTTTGGAGGCAGAGGCAGGTGGATCTGTAAGATCAAGGCCAGCCTGGTTTACAGAGTGAGTTCCAGGACAGCCAAGGGCTACAAACAGAGAAATTATATCTATAAAAATAAATAAATAAATAAACCCCCAAGCTCAGCAATGGTGGCGTACAAGCACTCGGGAGGCAGAAGCAGGCAGATCTCTGTGAGTTCAAGACCAGCCTGGTCTACAAGAGCTAGTTCCAAGATAGCCTCCAAAGCCACAGAGAAATCCTCTCTCAAAAAAAAAAAAACCAAAATAAATAAAATAAAAACCCCAAACCAAACACCAGGACCTTGCATTCTAAGCAAGTCATCAACCCCAGTCTTCAATTTTTATTTAATATTATTTATTTACGTATGAGTGTTTTAACTGTGTGTATGTACAACACATACATGCAAGAGGGCACTGGATGTCACGTGGATGCTAGGAACTGAATCTGGAGGTCCCTGGAAGAACCTGGATGCTTTTAACCACTGAGACATCTCTCTAGGCTCTACAATGATTTTAGTTGGTTAACTAGTTGGTTGTATTATGATAGGATCTGTCTGTGTAAGTCAGTCTGGCCTTGAAATCCCAATTCTCCTGCTTCAGCCTTTTAATTACTGGATTGCTTTTGAGAAAAAATTGTTTGTCTCACTGTATAGTCCTCTCCAACTCCCTATGTAGAGTAGATTGGCCTTGAACTCTACCTCCCCAGTGCTGGGACCAAAGGCGTGCAACACTAAGTTTCTGGTTTTGATCCTGCTTTGATTAAAATACAAAATAGAAGCCAGTAGTGTGATCACACCTCTGCGTGTGCAAGTTTGCACATATATACACACACATTAATTATCTTTTTTTTTTTTGAGTCAGGGTTTCTCTGTGTAGCCTTGGCTACTCTGGAACTAGTTCTATAAACCAGCCTGGCCTTGAGTTCAAAGATCACCTGCCCCTGCCTCCTGAGTGCTTGGATTAAAGGTATTCATCACCACCACCCAGCTGACCTTTGGGTTTTATTTATTAAAACAAATGTCTTTCTGAGCTATCTCTCCAGCCCCCCAGATTAGTTTCAAACTCAACCTCACCACAGTTTCCCAAATTCCAAATGCTGGGGATAAAGAAAGGTATTATGCCATGGTATCTGGCTTGCAGTCATTTTTATATTCATCTTCTGTTGAAGTTAATGGGTTAGTGTTCTAATTCTATCGAGCCCTTTTCAAGCTGCTATAACAGTTTTTGGAATGATTATCCCATTACTACTTACTTGCCAAGTCCTGAGTTCTGAATTCTGAGCTGAATATAAAAGCACCTAAGGTCATGACAATATTCATCCTGTGTGCTAAAGTTCCTGAAAATAAAAAGAATACAATGATTAAGTGTCTTAGCTTCTTTTTATTGCTATGACATGACACTATGGCCAATGCAATTCATAAATCATTTAATTGGGCTTACAGTTTCAGAGGGCTAGAGTTCGTGATGGCAGAGTAGAAGCCTGGTGGCAGGAACAGGTGAGCTCACATCTCTAACATGACGTAGGAAGCAGAGAGAGACCTGACAAGAATAACTCTGGGTCTTTTGACCCCTCAAAGCCTGACTCTCGTGATACACACCTAGTCCTTCCCAAACAACTCCACCAACTTGGGACCAAGTATTCAAACATGTAAGTCAATGGGGCCATCCTCATTCAAAGCACCAAAGCAAGGATACATATCCTTTACTAGTACTACAATTATTACCATGCAAAGATATGCCAACCTAACCATTCTAAGAAAAACAGAGCTGGGCATTGGTGGCGCACACCTTTAATCCCAGCACTTGGGAGGCAGAGGCAGGCGGATCTCTGTGAGTTTGAGGCCAGCCTGGTCTACAGAGCTTCCCGGACAGCCTCCAAAACAATACAGAGAAACCCTGTCTCGAAAAACAAAAACAAACAAACAAAAAAAGATACTCCAACAGTATTTCCAAAACTATAGTTCTTAAAAATAAAAATTTAAAAATAAAAAAAAAAGCATCGTAAATCGTTCCTTTAATTTTGGGTAAGAAATCAACAACGGTGAATTCCACTGAGACCTCTCAGCCGAAATTAATGCGCCAGAAAGACATTATCAGGAAGGACAACGCTGCTTAGTATGGTCATAAAAGTTTGGCGGGTGCGAGTATGAGATAAAGGTTGCCAAGAGCCTGTCTGCAAGACACATTCTCGTATGAGGGAGCCTGTTACCGCAAATCTCAAGGTCAACGCACTGGGGGCACGGAACACCCAGAGCTGCAACAGGCCTCATTGTTACCTTGACTGACGACGCCTTCGGTGATAGGTCACTGTGGATGTTAAAAACGACACGGAGATAGTCCTAGAAAAATAAGTGGGTGATGTACACAGCGGCTTCCAGGTACAGCCCGCGCGAGAGCAATCGTGGAGGACTAGGGTAAAGCACACAGCCAAAGCGAAGGGCACGGAGCAGGGCGTGCAGCGCCGGGAAGGAAGGACGCCGCCACACACCAGGAGGCGGCGCGGGCCGACCCGACGCGGCCGCGAAAGGAAAGCCCTGTCTGGCCCAGGCCCCGCCGGCTCCCGCATTAGGTTCGTCGCCATCCCATCCCATCCCACGCCGCCCCACCCGCTGCTCGTCGCCCGATGAACGGACGGCCTTCCCGGCTCACCTCGCACGGTCCAGCAGAAGTACTTCGCCTCCCCAGGGAGGCCCGCCCCGGGCCCGGAGGCCAGCTGCCTGGGGCACGCCTCACTCCGCCATCTTCGCTCCTTCTCCAGTCCGCCAACCCCGGGGCGGAGGCGCGAAAGGTCCCGCCCCACCTTCGAGTGCTGATTGGACAGCACCTTGCTTGCGCGCTCTCCTTCCGTCGCAGATTGGCTGGAAGGTATATCAATCAGCACGCTTTTTTTTTTTGTTGCAGCTGTATACTTAGGTGAAGTTAACCAGGGAAAGGGTTACTGTAATTCACTTGAAAAAAAAATTCGCACGGAGGCAGTACCACTTTTTAGTAAGATAGTGTAGCAAGTCCGAATGATATTTTAAACTACTGTTAAAATATAAACTGTTACTAGTAATTTCTGCCAAGGCCTAAAGGATTTTTATCCTCGGGATAACATTACACCCAGAGAAACAATTTCATGGTTTCAGTTCTTCTAATTTTGACCCATTTAAAATCTTAAAAGCCTGAACGTAGCCTGCTGTTTAAAGGTCAACCCAGGAGAGCAGTTTTCCTCACCTCAGAGGGCCTGTCTGCTGAGCTGAATGTCAAAATGACAGAAGGCAGCTTTGCTGGTTAGCGATAGTTCCAGGAGAGGTAGGGAAGGCAATAGTGTGACTCTTCCGTACTATGAGAGTTCTCCCATGCTGGCTAAACAACGGTGTTTAATCTAGCCCATTTATTAAACCCAGATTCCTTCCTTCGGCAAGGAAGACGAAACGCGGTTGTATATTTCCACAATGTCAGAACCTATTGAATAATAGTAAATTCACAAGCTACATTGCTTCATTGGCTGCGGTTTACCAAGCAGCCTTGATTTCCCTTATTACCTGGCAGGTGGCAAAGACCTTGTACAGGCTGGCCTCGAATTCACTGTATAGCAGCAGGTAATCTACCGCACTGGTTATGTCCTGCATGCCAACCGAGCAACAACGTCCTCAGCCGGAACACAGGTTCTTCCAGTGTTAACTATGCATCAGATCATTACATTCCTGCAATATTTTATATGATGTATATATGTAAACTACAGAATGCCTACCAAGGATCACATAAACCTCTATGTTCAAAGACGTTTGTTTTACTGCATCCAGACAGAGTTGGTAAGAATGGGAGAGTCAGGCCGGGCGGTGGTGGCGCACGCCTTTAATCCCAGCACTCGGGAGGCAGAGGCAGGCGGATCTCTGTGAGTTCGAGCCTGGGTTGGACTGACAGCCTGGAAAACAATACAGAGAAACCCTATCTCGTAAAACAAAAAACAAACAAACAAAAAAGAATGGGAGAGTCAGTGTGGTTAGCTAGACAGTACTGAACCCAGCTAGAAAGCCACAGCATACTGAGCCTAGCTGAAGCGTCCAGGTGAGCTGTACAGGAGGGCTATAGTGAGGTGCAGGTCTGAGTAGGGACAGACGAATGTACAGACAGCCGTAATTCAAATGAGCAATATCGTTCAATGGGGCCCATGCTAAACTGCAGCCCGGAGAACAGGCAGAAATAGTTTTAACTCTCTTCACCAGGGGGTTACATGACAGGGGTGGTGGAGGATTGGGGTTAGAGGTGGGGGTTACCATTGGAGCAAAGTGCTGTGTTCTTCCTATTTGTATGGGGGATAGGTGAGGAATGTTCAGTAACACTCAGTAACCCTGTCTGATTTGTGTGTGTAGTTGCATACAAGGCAAGTACTCATCTGAGCTATATCCTCAGCACTCTATTTAATATACCTATGTCCATGTTTCTTATCTATTTTATTTTAAACATATGTTTAAATATACATGTACCACATGCTTGTTTGATGCCTGAGGAGGTTTGGAAAGGGTGTCAGATACCATGGATCTGCAGTCACAGATCACTGCGACTCACCATGTGAGTGCTGAGAATCGTACCTGGGTCCCATGAGCAACAGGTACTCTCTAACTGCTGAGCCATCTCTCAAGGAGAAAGAGGACTGCCTCTGAAGTCTACCCTCGGCCCTTTTGCACGGTTTGTATTTGTGTCTTCCCCTTCTGTAGGGAATGGAGGAAGGTCTGAGTGAGTGAAGTCCTGAGTGAATGTGTGTTTTGACATGGACCTATGGAATAGTTTCGCAAAGCTGTTACCCATGTGGAAATGTCAAAGCATTTCTGGGGAATCTGAGAACAAGTGTTTGTGGATCAGTGTGTGCAGACTAGAAACCACAGCTTGCTCCTCCCGGACGTTTACAGCCTGAGACTGCTCTACAGAGGTCTGCTGGAGGCTGGTCAACCCCTCCGCCTGTGCTATACCTAACACGCCACGGTTCCTGGTTGCAGTTTGGGCAGAACCCTGACTTACCACAGCTTTGTTGTCTGTGTGCTTGTACCTTTGTCCTTCATTCTCTAGAAGTCCCTAGTCAGGGCCCAAGCCACATACAGCACCCTTTCTTCTCCAGCACCTTTTTCTTAACTTCTGACTTGTTGGTGATTACAAGGATAACCAAAATGCCCTTGATGATAGGTACAAATGATTTCACAGAACAGTTATCTCTGCCACACGAATTACAGGCTGCTTTAGCTCCCTGTCCACCAAAGATACAGCACATAGCACACTCATTCTTTCAATTTTGGGAAAATAAAATTCTCCATGGCTATTCTCAAAGACATCCTACAGGACATATTTTAATGGCAGCTAGAAATTTGTTCTTACACTAGGCAGAGAAGAGACAACTCCTCCCCTCAAGAAACTGAGCACCATAGGCAATAGTAGTACCACACACCTTTACTCCACCCAAATAGGCAGAGGCAGGTGAATTTCTGTGTTCATGGCTAGCTTGATCTACACAGGGCTATACAGTAAGACTACCTCATAAGTAAGTAAATAAATAAGGAGTTCATTATGACACAAAGGGCTTTTTTCCACAGTGCTGCTCTCAGATTACAAGCTTCCAAGTCTTATCAATAAAAAATTCTGATTTCAAGGTGCTAAGAAAAAATATCAGACAGGAGTGGCTGGGCTCAATCCTCCAAATATTCAGGTGTGATCCAGTCTGAATAATACACAATTGCATTAAATTTCCTTTTATAGTTAGTATTGCCAGGAATGTTTCATTGAAATAGATTTCCACTGGTGCTTAAGTCCATAAGCACCAACACAGTTTAGACATTGAATGGATTTTTTAAAGTTTTTTTTTTGTTTGTTTTTGTCAGTCTCTGTGAGTTCAAGGCCAGCCTGGTCTACAGATCGAGTTCCAGGAGTCAGAGCTATCACACAGAGAAAAGCTGTTGAGTGTGGATGTGAGTAGTAAGGCCAGAGCACTGGATCCTCTTGAACTGGAGTCACAAGCACTTGTGAGCTTACAACAATATGGATGCTGAGAAACAAACTCTGACCCTCTGCAAAGGCAGCATGTTAACTGCTGAGCTGTCCCTCCAACACACTGGTTGTGTTTTTGAGACAGGGTCTCCTGTAGCATAAATTGGCCTCAAACTTGACTAGTGAGTAGAGCATGGTGTTGAACTCCTGAGTCTCCATGTTTGTCTTCTTTTTTCAAAAAATTTTTACTTATTTAGTATTTATAGTCTTCTGTCTGCATGTATGCCAGCACACCAGAAGAGGGCACCAGATCCCATTATAGATGTTTGTGAGCCAACATATGGTTACTAGGAATTGAACTCAGGACATCTGGAAGAACAGTCAATGCTCTTAACCTCTGAGCCATCTCTCCAACACCTCCCCCCCTTTTGTTTCTTTTTTTTTTTAATTTAAATTAGAAACAAGCTTGCTTCACATGTTAATCCCAGGTCCCTCTCCCCCCTCCTCCCCTGTCCTCCCCACCAGGCCCCCCAGCCCCCACCCAATCTCTACTCTGATCCCCAGGGAAGGTGAGGTCCTCCATGGGGGATCTCCAGAGTCTGTCATTTCATCCAGAGAAGGGCCTAAGCCCTCCCCCATGTGTCCAGGCTGAGAGAGCATTCCTCAATGTGGGATGGGCACCCAAAGTCCATTCGTATGCCAGGGATAAATACTGATCTAGTAGTACCCGAGGCCCCATAGATTGCCTAGGCCTCCTCACTGACACCCACAATCAGAGGGTTTGGATCAGTCCTATGCTGGCCTCCCAGCCATCAGTCTGCCCCCCTCCCCATTTTTAAAGATTCACTTTATGCACACTGATGCTTTGCCTGTATGTATGTCTGTACGAGGGTGTCTGATCCTCTGGAACTAGAGTTATAGACAGCTGTGAGCTGCCATGTGGGTGCTGGGAATTGAACCTGGGTCTTCTGGAAGAGTAGCAGCTGCTCTTAACCACTGGGCCATCTCTCCAGCTCCATGTCTCTGTCTTCTAAGTGCTAGAATCACCAACTAGCTCCACAGTGGGCTTTGAAGCCTTTTTTATGTGTTGTGAGACCAGCAGAGGTAATGAACTGCTGAGATTATTGATCTATACTAGAATGTCTATAATGCTGGCTTTGTTTTCTGTTTTAAAAAGTGTGTGTGTGTGTGTGTGTGTGTGTGTGTGTGTGTGTGTGTGTGTTTGTTATAAATGTTTTGCCTGGTGTGTCTATGTGCACATGTGTACTTGGTACCACCAGAGGCCAGAAGAGGGTGCAGATACCCTGGAACTGGAGTTAAAGAACAGATGTAAAAGCCACTGTATAGGAGCTGGGAACCCATCCCTGGTTCTCTGCAAGAACAGCAGATGCTCCTAACTGCTGAGCTATCTTTTCAGCCTCATTTTTTTTCTTTTTTAAGACAAGGTTTCAAACTCAAGATGTACCTAAGCTTGAACCCATGATCCTTATGTCTCTACCTCCAAAGTACTTGGGTTGTCAAATGCACCACACCCAACTTTGCTATTTATTTTCTTATAGCACCTCCTCCTTTATCAGCAATGCTTCTTAGATTTAGAGACTAGAGAAAAGAAACTGAGGGATGGAGACACAGCTCAGCTGTTTAGCACTTGCTTAGCAAGCGTAAGGCCCTACCTGAAATCCACAGGTCTCTCTCTCTCTCTCTCTCTCTCTCTCTCTCTCTCTCTCTCTCTCTCTCACCACACACACACACACACACACACACACACACATACACACACACACACACACACACACACACACACGATCACATGATTTTAGCTGGGTGTTTGGGGTACACATTTGTAACCATCGCACTTGTTTTAACGACAATTAATTTATTGATGGATTGAGGAATACAATTTTAATGGGACAATAAGGCACAACTGTGGATTAAAACAGTTTGCTATACAGCCAAGGGGGGGCGTAATCTTAGAAACTTTAAATATGTAAATCAAGAAGCCTCTGAAGAACTTCTTAAACAGATCAGTATCAGACAATTCTTCCCTTTTATACAATTCTTATATTACATCATTTGATCACAAAGTCAGACAGATATTTTATAAAGAATTCCCCAGTTCATGTAGACTCTAGCCATCCATCCTGGCTACTTCTCACTTTTACCCTTCCCTTTTGCAGTGTTTTGTTTGGGTTTTAATTCTTTCCTAAAGAATTGTTACATGTCTTGAATAGCCTTCCAAAGCAAAGAAGCAAGCAAGCAAACAACAGAGAAAGCCAGCCAAGAGCAGATTTACACAGACACAGGACAGAAGCAGCCTGATTCAGTGAGGTCTAAACCAAGCTGACACTGGCCCAAAAGTTGAGCTGGGTCACTCAAAGACCTCTACTTTCACTTCAGCTGGTGTCACCAGTGCTAGGTCCTATACTCCTAAAGGATGTGCAGTGGTCTACACTCTACACAAGGAGCTAGGAAGGTCCTATGCATTCAATACCTGCACCAGGATTATGGACTGACTACAGGGCTTCCAGTGTTAAAATTTGCCAAGCATAAAATTCATTCAGAATTTTGTGCAAAACTTTAAGACACCGAGGACAATTTAATTCTTGAGGACTAAGATAAGTCAGGCACTTCCATAACACTAGTCTTTCTGTTTGGAAATGTGAAGATCTTCCAGAACACTGAGCATAACCCATGCTGCAGAGTGAATGTGGGCAGTTCTCCAGGGTGCCTAGCCTCTTCAGAAAACTACAAGAAGGCCCCCTAACATGTTCAAAACAGCTACTCTATTGGTGACAATGTCCCAAAGAGAAGCAAACTGTCAGGCATAAGACTATTTTCTGAATGTCAACACTGCACTCAGAAAAGAAGCCACATAAATATGTTGAAAATAAAAAGCCAGAGGTAGAGAGACCTGGGGAAACCACCTAGGAGACATGGCTCTACAAGTCCCACCATGACAACCTTTTCAGTATATCTCTGTTCATAAGCCCTGTGATGAGAGCAGTGCAGGGGATCAAGAGAGTCACATGCTTCCAAGAGTTGTACTGGTTGCCAGAAAGTTCCTGGACAGGCAATGTTGCAGAGACACGTCCAGGAGAAGGTAGATATAAACCACCAGACCACTTACTATCCTGTCACACTGGAGACAGGCTTGACAGCAGAGCCCAGAGTCAAGGAGAATACAGGGAATCTTAATCAAAAGGATGGAGACTGAAAACCAAATGGATACACGGTTGGTGACAGGGAGGTAGGAAGTAAAGGACACAGAAGGACACAGGAACATGTGGAGGTTCGATGAAGGGAAGGCAGCATGGATATGGTCTCCATCCAGTGGGAGCTGTGCTGGCTGGTTCTTGACGTGAGCCCCTATCTCATTTTCTCAGACAGGATGGATGCATGGCATTCAGCATCAAAACAGGGATGATGTCACTTACAAACAGAGACCTGGTGGGTGCATACTGAACAGAAACAGACTGAGGGTACCATTCTGCAATGCCCTGTTTATACACCAAAGGCAAGTCTGTGTGGACAGGGGAGACTTCAGGTTGTCATGCAAGAGCAGTAGTATTCTGGGAAGGGGGATGACAGGATAGGGTGGGGTTGGAGGACAGAAGGAAGTTCCAGTTCTTAAATACTAGGAAGCAAGAATAATTTGGTCCCTGTCCTTTAGTGAAGAAACCGGATGCTCATTTTCTGTTCTACATCCACCTTCTCCAAAACCTGGAGATGAAAAACAAACAATGTATCATTAAGATTATGATCATTCTGAGCACCCTTCTAAATAATGGGTGTTCTCTTCCTCCTCCTATGCAACGGAATCGAACTTAAAATTAAAAGGGGAAAGACTCATAAGGGCACAACTCTTCCTGAGGATCCACTGGGAGCTAATGGTTGCTGAGGAGACATTTTCTTCAGTTGTGAAGACCTTCATTAGTTCCCCAAGCCCTGTAAGTAACCCCAATTAAACGCTTATCTTCACCCCTCCAAAAAGACATGAACATAAAAGATTAGTTGAGGAAAATAAGGGAATCAGCAAGTGAGAGGGAGACAGAGTGAATACAATCAAGATATATACATGTATAAAAATGTTACACTAAAACACACTGTAAATAATTAATATATGCTAATAAAAAAGAATGGAATGGGAAAAAATTAAAAGGTAATGGACAGACCTTAACAAATTCCGTAAAGGATATGGCACTATCCCCATCCTGGTCAGCCTCCTGAATGGTCCTGTCCGCAATGCTGCCCAGCTGCTCATCTGAGATGTTCACTCCAACCATCATTCGTAGCACCTACAAGACCAAGAGCCTTAGAGGAGACTTGAGAAAAAGCCACCTCAACTCCCTTCCCCTTTGATTCCTTTGATTCACCAGCAAGACAGGTGAAATCCTTAGCTTCTTATCTAGGCCATTCTAAAAGAAGGAAGAGAGTGAAACTCCAGCAAAGTCGCGAAGAATCTTCTCCATATGGACAGAACTGATTCTTCCTGCTCAGACTACAGGCATGACAGCTGGCACAGCAGTCATAATGCAGCTGTGAGGTACATCACACATGTTATGAAGTCCATAGAAGAACAGAGCAGAAGCTGGGATATTCAGGTACTGTGAAACCCAGACAACCAATCCCTGGAAGTCAGTTTGGTGGATTGTTCTGGAATCCAATACAAAAGCAGTCCTCTGTTGTGTGTGTGGGGGGGCAGGACACGGGACACTGAGCCTTTATTTCAGGTTACAGCCCATATAAACCTCCTTAAAGACTATGTGGGAGGCCTATGTGGTAGATTACAAGTTGAGTCCAGTTTGGTGAACTTAGTGAAGACTTTTTTAAAGTGTGAGGGTGTCTGGGATAGTGCTCATATAGCAAACACAAGGCCCTAGTATCACACACACAATCATGGCACCTTAAACAAAATAAATAACTGCAATGTCCTCTTGTCTAATAGGTCACAGGCTTTCTTCCCCATTCCTTTGCATCCTTCTGGAAATACTAAATTTGCATCAGCAGTGGGTTTCTGACAGGGAGTCAATGCAAGGGGGAAACAAGTGTTTTTATTAACAGGAGAAAGCATTTACATACAAGCTGGGAAGATGAGAAGCATGGCTGGCTTCCAAGAGAGAGGGCTTTTGCTTTCTCTTATATTTCCCTTATATCTTCCTGTGTTCCCCATACCCCTGTCCACTGGGGCATGTTCAGTATTGTGGGCTCACCCCTACAGGTTTTTTTTTTTTTTTTGGATTTTCAAGACAGGGTTTCTCTGTATTGTTTTGGAGGCTGTCCTCACTCTGTAGACCAGGCTGGCCTCGAACTCACAGAGATCCGCCTGCCTCTGCCTCCCGAGTGCTGTAGGTTTCTCTTTTTTACCAACTATTTTTGTTGGGGTGGGGTGGGCAAAGGAGGACTATTTTTTAGACAAACTTACTATGCTGCTCGGGTTGGCACCGGCCTTAACTGCCTAGACTCTTAGCTTGTCAAGTAGTTCTTACCAGTTACATATACTACCTTACATAGCTGTCAACCAATTCTTTTGTTTTTTAGAGACAGGGGCAATCAACCAATTCTTTAAAACCAAAAGTTGTGCCAGGTGGTGGCAGTATATGCCTTTAATACCAGCACTCAAGAGGCAGATGGATCTCTGTGAGTTCAAGGTTAACCTGATCTATAGAACAAGTTCCAGAACAGTCAAGGCTACACAGAGAAAATCTGTCTCAAACAAACAAACAAACAAAGAAACAAACAAACCTAGAAGTCATGGCTCAGTGGTTAAGGTATCATTTCAGCAAAGCCATTTCCACCTCTCCCAAAGCAAGTAACCAAGCAGATAAATTGATCTCCAAATGGTGACATCCTCAGATCTCAATTCAATTAGTCCCTAGGGTGTTTTGCTTGGAGAATGGTAAGAGCTTAGGCTGTAGAGAGGCTTGTGGGGAGAATACTGCCTCAGGTGTGTGAGGTCCTGGACGCCATTCCCAACTTTACACACACACACAAAGAATTATAGAGTTAGAATATATGTGTACATGTGTTCATGTTGGGAGGTAGACAAGCATGGTGTGTAATAAAATACCTTTATCTTGTCATTTAATGAGGGCAAGAGGTTCAGAAGTGGTTTGGCCCCGGTGCTATGAACCAGTTGACAGATGCTGTCTTTCCAGGCCTCCATTCCCAGGCCAATGCTTCTTCCATTTGTCTACCTTACCACTTACTAATCCAGCTGGAGGGTTATTAGCCAGTGGAAACTTATTGTTATTTAACTGCAATTACTCTAGTTTCTATATGCACGCTCCCTTTTATTGGGTGTAGTCTTCTCAATTAAACCCAGGGCCTTCCATGTGCCATGTGAGCATTCTGCCACTGAGTTACATTCCCAGAACTCTCTTCAGGAAAGGGCACTGGATGCTCTGAACTAGAGTAATAGGTGGTTGTGAGCCATCATGTGGGTGCTGGAAACTGAATCTGAGTCCTCTCTAAGAAGAGCCAGTGCTCTAAACCTCTGAGCATCACTCCAGCCCGATGTTTGGAATTTTTAAAAATCGGTGTGAAAAGGGCTTGGACAGCATTTTTCTCACACTATCTTTTAGCTTTGGTTTTTCAAGACAGGGTTTCTCTGTGGCTTTGGAAGCTGTCCTGGAACTAGCTCTCGTAGACCAGGCTCACACTATCTTTATAAAGTTTTCATGTCTGAGTTACGCTAGCCTCATGAAATAGGTCTTTGAACAGAGCAACCCTCTCTGCTGAAGTATAACTGACATAGTATAGACTATACATATAGACCAAATGCTTTAGAAATTACAGTGCCTAGAAAGAAAAAGGTTCTCTTCTTCTACTTCAGACAACTGTTCTCTTCTTGCTAGGTTAAAACTTGATGCCTGAGCCAGGTCTGGGTGAAAATATGTAACACAAGAATAGTCGTTTCCATCTTTTCAGACCTCAAAGGCACAGGTATATCTTTGAGTAAGACAGTATGCATTTCACCAAAGAAAGTTATTCCCATCTCAAAAGCAAAGGGTAAAGTCAGCATCTGGTATGGATGGTGAGAGGCTCATGAGACCCCACACCCATAGCTGAGGAGCTATTGGCAGGTGGTTGCTGGGGGATGGAGTCTTCTGGGGTTTTTTTGTTTGTTTGTTTTTTGAGTCAGGATTTCTCTGTATAACAGTCCTAGAACGCACTTTACAGAACAGGCTGGAGAGTCATTTTGCTGTTATTGTTGTTGGGGTGTGGCCACTATTAGTACATTGCCCATGCTCCGATGAATGGTCCCACATCCATGTGCACATAGTTAGCACTGACTGTACTCAGCAGGTTATTTTTTTCAAAAAGGACATAAGAGAAGTGGAGGAAGAGGGCATATATGATCAAAATATCATATACATATATAAAATTCTCAAAAGAATAAATGGTAAATATTATGTGTATTTTTTAAAAGCAAGGGCCATGGGATACTACCATTAGCCTCCAGTTTCATGTTTTCTCATTGAAATGTAGGAAGATTGGGTTGGTCCTTAATCTGCTCTGAGTAGGCTTCAACTTGTGAGGTTTTTTTGTTTGTTTGTTTGTTTGTTATTTGGAGATAGGGTTTCTTTGAGTAGTCCTGGCCGTCCTAGAACTTGATCTGTAGATCAGGCTGACTTTGAATTCAGAGATTCACCTGCTTCTGCCTGGATTAAAGGTGTACACCACCATGCCTGGCAACTTATAAGTTTTTTAAAACCAAAGAATTAGTTTTGGTTTAGTTTAGAACAGAAAGCACTTCCCCTTTTAGGTATGATCTTGAAACATCTTGCCCCATGGAAATTCCTCAATGTGCTAGCTACCTGAGGTCTCCCAGATTCAACAAAAGGAAGAGTTCCCTACTGTCCTACATTTACAAAAAGAGAAAGAGATAGTAAACAATGCAAATCATGCAATTGTCAGTCAGAGCTGGAACCACCTTAGGCTGGAACTACCAACAACTGGAGTGGTTAGCTGGGTAGATGGTGGCTACAGCAGTCCCTTGACTCTGATACCAAGTTTCAGGAGAGACTCAACAGCAGAATTCACTTCAAAGTCCTTGGATAAAATGACTGCTAACAAGCTGACCTGTCAGTAACTGAGCTATCTGACCCAGCCTCATTGTGTATTCCCCTTTGTCACTCAGCACCACAGAGACAGGGGCTTTTAAGTGGTGAAGATCCCCCATCCCTGAATACTTAGAGACCAGTTTCAAGTGTTTCCAGGTCTTCTCTGTCTTTTGTCTGCATCAGGACTCTTTCCAAGGCAGGGATTCAATGAGTGTTTACTGAAAAGGAAGAATGACTGTTGCCCATAAAAGCAAAGTCAGGGCCCCAAATACACACCGTCCCGAAACTTTCCCACATACCTGCAGCAGCTCATCACGGGAGATCTTGTCATCTTTATCCAAATCATATAGCCTAAAAGCAACTGGTAGGAAAACACAAGAAGTCAGTGGGCAATTTTTGTAGTGCTTTGTCCTTTTTTCAAGGAGCTGAGCACACAAAGGACAGAAAACTGATACCTACTATATAGACCTTATGCCAGAGTTCAAATCCTACTCTTCCTTAGAAAAGAACTGGAACTTCCTTCCCTTTTTGAGACAGAATCGTATGCAGCTGAAGCTGGCCTAGAGCTTGACACTTAGCGACAGCTGGCCTTGAACTCTTCATCTTTCCATCTCCACTTCCTAAGTGCTGAGATTATAGGTATCACAGTGCCCAGCAAGGACTGGAGTTTTAAACAAAATCAACAAAACTTTGATGTCTATATATACCCACCCCACCGCCCAGAGCTAGGATTATGGGTGTGAACATACAACTGACTTGTCATTCAAGTGGGGCACCTAAACTCCAGTCCTCAGGATGGTACAGCAAGTGCCCACACACCCTGTATCATTTCTCAGTTCCTGCCCTGCCTTTCTTATATTTCTTTCTTAAAAAAAAAAAAAAAAGATGTATTTATTATGTTTCTGTCTGCATGTATCCCTGTACGCCAGAGAGGGCACCAGATCTCATTACAGATGGTTGTGAGCTACTATGTGGTTGCTGGGAATTGAATCCGGATCTCTGGAAGAACAGCAAGTACTCTTAACTGCTGAGCTACCTCTGTAGTTCTGTTGTTGTTGTTTTGTTTTTGAGACAGGGTCTCACTGTTGCCTAGGCTAGCCTTGAACTTAACTAACAGAGATCTTCTACCTCTGCCTCTCAAATGCCAGGATTAAAGTCATGCTCTATCATGCCCAGCTTTTAATTTCTTGACTAGGCAAATGGGGTGAGGATTCTCCTACAATCTCACCCCTGCCACATATACTTTTTTTAATGAGATAGGGTCTTATGAAACCCAAACTGGCCTTAAACTTACTGTTCTTCCAGAGAACTGAACACACATTGGGAAGCTCACAATCACTAGTTAACTCCAGTTCCAGGGGTCCTAATACCTTCTAGCACACACATGAATGTACACGGACACACACAGAAGAATAAAAATGATCAATGTTGATATACAGACAAAACTGCTTCAATTCCTTGTTCAAGAACAGAGGTTCAACACCGGGTGGTGGTGGTGCACGCCTTTAATCCCAGCACTCCGGAGGCAGAGGCAGGCGGATCTCTGTGAGTTCGAGGCCAGACTGGTCTACAAGAGCCAGTTCCAGGACAGTCTCCAAAACCACAGAAAAACCCTGTCTCCGAAAAACCGGGGGAAAAAAAAAGAACAGAGGTTCTTGTGGAATATCCTTTCTAGCCCCTGGGTTCACGGACAAATGAATTTGTGATTGTGGAAAGAAAAAGATTTTTCTTCTCAAAATGTCTACTAGACAGGTACAAATGCAGCACAAATAGATTAAGTTTCACATGGCACATATTTCTGAATTCTCTGTTTATCATTTGTGCTTCTCATCAATTTAAGGCCTAAGATTGTTCTTTGACTAAATACTACATCCTGTTACTTAATGTATGATAAAAACATGATACAACTTCCATCAGCAGTCCCACACTCAAGAAAACAACTACTACAAAGCTGGGCATGGTAGTGCCCACCTCATGTGGGATAATGCTCTTTTACATTGCAAAGATTCATCACTCATATTGGTTTAATAAAACACTGATTGGCCAGGCAGGAAGTATAGATGGAGCTACCAGACTGGAAAGAGGAAGGCAGAGAGTGAATTGTCAGTAAGATGCCATGTAGCTGCCAAGGAAGCAGGAGACCTGGGCATCGCTGGTAAACCAAGACTATATAGAGATATACAGATTAATAGAAATGGGTTAATAATTAAGAGAGAGCTAGGCAATAAGATGCCTGAGCCATAGGCCAAACAGTTTATAATTACTATAAGCCTCTGTGTGTTTATTTGGGACTAAATGGCTTTGGGACAGGGCAGAAACTTCCATCTACATACACCTTTAATGCCAGTGCTCAGAGACAGATATATCTCTATGTAACTTTATTTATTTATTTTAATCAAGCAATCGATTATTTGTTTATTTATTTTAATCGATCAATTGATTATTTATTTATTTATTTATTTATTTATTTATTTATTTATTTATTTATTTATTGTGGTGTAGCTCTGGCTGGCCTGGAACTCGCTATGTAGACCAGGCTGGCTTTGAACTCATCAGATCTGCCTACTTCTGCCTCATGAGTGCTGGGATTAAAGGCGTGCATCACCATCACCACCACCACCACCACCACCACCACCACCACCACCACCACCACCACCACCACCACCACCACCACCAGCAGGCTGAGTTTCCTGTCTACAGGACAGCCCAGTCTACACATCAAGTTCAAGGACAGCAGGAGCTACATAGTGAGACCTTGTCTCAAAGAAAAAGAAAGCAACTACTGTTGGGTTATGGTGGCACACACCTTTAATTCCAGCACTAGGGAGGCAGAGGCAGGTGGATTGAAAGAAAGAAGAGAGAGGAGAGGAAGAAGAGAGAAAGAAAGGAAGAAACAAAGAGAGAGAAAAGAAGAAAGATCAAGAGAGAAAAAGAAAACTACTGGCTCACCGCCATTAAGACTACAAAGAGAATGAATGCTTAAGTAGGTTAAAGTAAAAGAAAATGTTAAACCATGTATACTTTTCTAGGATTCTATGCTACAATTGATTTTTCCCAATTATTCATTAACTCCTTGTCTCAAGTATGGCAAACAAATTTTTACTGTACAGTATCAAGATCAGATAGGCATATAGTAGAAATGTGCTAAAACACTATCAAAGCTGGATGTGGTAGCACTCAGGAGGCAGAGGGGAGGACTGTCCCACGTTTGAGACGTGCCTGGATTACACACTGAGTTCCAGACCACGCCTGGACTACAATTAAACAATTAAAAAGAACTTACTAGATAACAACACTACCAACCCACAGACAGAAGGCTTTGTATGAAGCAAGCAGTACTTGGTCTTGAAAGGAGAAAATGCAGCTCACTAGTGCAGTCTATAATAAACATGAGGATAATTCACAGAATTCTGTCGTCTGTAGCCATCTTTTTCTATTGAAATTTTCTGTTTGTCAAGCACCATAATGCTGTGGTAGAGTTCAACAGTATTTTAGTACTTTTGTTCAAAAATATTCTCTGGCCTAAGTAACAAGATTCACTTCAGCGATTCTCGAACTGTGCCATAAATGCCAACAAAAGGGGACTCACAGCCCTCCAAGAAGATGAGCAAAGACCAACAGCCACAAACTAAAGCTTCTTGAGGCACTTGTCAAGTATATGAAATGTAGCATTATGTCATCTAACTTACTTGTGTATGTTCTAATAGTTAAAGATCTTCTAGTATCTTTAAATCATCCATTTAATCTGAGGCTTCATAAACTCCCAGGCAGCACCATGTACTCTTTCAAGGCAGGGTTGGGATCAATCAGTTTCATATAATTTCAACATCAACTTGTGTTGAAGGAAAAGTAGAATTTCAACTTCAACTTCCTGGAAAAGTGTTGTAAGGGATTGGGCAATAGTCCATGACCCAACAAGGGCAGAAGGAAATCTAGTAAGTATTTAAAGAAAGGAGGCAAGAGGTAACAGGCACAGAAAATTAAACATTGCCTCTCGCTTACTGGAACTTCAGTCAAATCCATAATCTACCAAATTCTAGAATACATGGAGGACCAATATTATCTCTTATTGGCAGAGCCTGGGACCTTGCTCCCAGTCGTCACTCAAGTACCTTCTATAGTGCCTGGCCTACAAGAGATAATGAACTATAAATACCAGGTACAATACTAGTATATACAAGGTACTGTTTGAAGCACTAGACATATATTAATTCTCAAAACAGGAAGAATTTCTTAATGGGAACAACAGATGTGGCTCAGTAGTAACAGTACTTGTCTGGCACACTTTATGCCTTGGGCACTACCCCAAGCACCTCAAAAATAAGTTGTGGTGGTATATGCCAGTAATTTCAGCACATGGGAGGTGTAGACAATGGAATCAGGAATTCAAGCAAGCCATAGCTATGTAGTAAGTCTGAGGCTAGACTAGGAAACATGTGATACTGTCTCTAACAGCAACCAAAATCCCATAATGAGCTATGGAAATGATCTATAAAATCCCTTAATATCTCATTTTACATAAGAGAAAACTGCAGTCCAAAGATCTCAGGTAACCTGTCCCAAGTGTCATGTGGAAAAAATGGTAAACCAGGAATTCCAACTCAGCTTAGCTCCACAGTCTGACCACTTGGCACTCTGCTTTTACAAATGTTGAAAGAGTAAAAGAGCACACAGATGATTTGGGGAGAGGAGGAAATATGTTAAGTCACACAACTGATGCTCCTTACAATGCAGTTTGTTGCTTCGGCTGTTGAGTGGTTCAGGTCCATTCACATCTTTGCTCTTTTCGTTATCCTCAATGGGTCGGAAATGAGCCAATGTTCTCATGAATCCTCGGAAGTTTACCTGGTCCTCTCTGATTAGGAAACAGAATAGAACACCATGTTAATCAGGGTGGGCTCTTCTGTTTGTATGTTTTGTCTTTTTGCAGTGTTTAGAGATCAAATTTAAGGTCTTCCACAGCTAGGTAAGCACTCTGCCTCTCAACTATACTGACTCATGGTGACTGTTTCTTATGAACTCAAGAAATGGTCAACACCGAGCCTGAGGAGCCTGAAAGTCCATTTACAACTTTCTTTCCATATGCATGCATTGTACCTCAGGGCTTATACATCTGCCTCCTAGAAGCCTCACCCCAATTGTGTGAAGTGGTATATTATTCACATTTATTAAATGATTAACTAGGCTGAAAGAAGGAAAGCAGTTGGCTATGGTGAGAGTTATCAACTGAATTTACTTATATATCTTTTCCAAAAATTGGATGTAGAGAAGGGCCAGTAACACCAAGAATAATCTCTTTTTGCTTTGAACTCTGGAACAGTCCATATGTTAGTATAGTAAGGTACACCTAAAGATATTCTAAGAAACCGTGCTTTTTTGTTTACTTGTTCTGAGACAGTCTGACATGGTAGCAAGCTTGGCTTTGTTCTCAGCAGTCCTGTTTTGGCTTCCCAAGTGCTAGGGTAATAGGTATAAGGAAACATGCCCAGTAACTTTGCTATGTTTTCCTCCTTCTCTTCATCTTCTAGTGCTAGGGATCAAACACGGGTCTTCAGCTATACTAGGCAAGCACTATACCACTGAGCTATATAGATCCAGCTTTCCTTCCTAAAACAACTTGTATTTTATGTGTATGGATATGTTGTCTGCATGCCTGGGGCCTGTGGATGTCAGAAAAGAGCATCCAATTCCCTGAACAGGAGTTATTGCCAGTTGTGAGCTTCCATGTGTGGCTGGGAATCTAACGTGGGTCCTCTAGAAAAACAGCCAGTGTTTTTAGCTGATTAGCTATCTTTCCAGCCCTATACTTTGTTTTGTTGAAACAGGATCTAACCATGTAATCCTGGTTGGCCTGAGATTTACTGTGTATACCAGGATGACCTTAATTTTGACAATACTCCTGCCTCTGCCTCCCAAGTGCTGAAGTTACAGACATACATACCACTGCCTGGCTTTTTTAATCCATATAAAAAAAATAAGAAGCTGCAGTAAATATCAACATTGCAGTAATGCATGGCAATGGAATCTGCAATCCCAGCACCCAGGAGTCAGAGACAAGAGGATTCCTTAGAGTTTAAGTTGGCTTTAGGGCACATAAGAGTACTAAAGCCAGCCAAGGAATCAAGCAATACTTTGTCTCAAAAAATCTGCAAAGCCACAGAGAAACCCTGTCTCGAAAAAAAAAAAAAAACCAAAAAAACCAAAAAAAAAAAAATCTGAAAAACAAAAACAAAACAGCAACAACAACAAAGGGCTAGGGATGTAGCTTAGTTAGTAGAGTATTTGCCTACCATTTATGAGACCGATGCTTAAATCCCAGTATCACATAAAACTGACTTAGTTTGCTGCTAAGTCTGATGACTGAGTTTAATCCTCAAAAACCTACACAGTGGAAAGAGAGAAATGACTCCTGAAGTCTGACTCCATGCATGCATGCCTATCACACACACACACACACACACACACACACACACCCCAAGGAAATAATTCTAAAATTGACTAAATGAATTTTTAACAGTTAAAGGGTGACCCATGTGACTTGTTTACTTTAGACAATCATATCAGTCTCATGTGGCCTGCTTCCCAGAGCTACCTTAAAAAAAAATCCTGCCAGGCATCATGGCACCTGCCTTTAATCTTAGCCCTTGGAGACAGAGACAGGTAGATCTCTATAAATTCAAGGCTAGCCTGGTCTACATAGTTCCAGGCCACCCAAATCTACACAGTGTGAGAACCTGAGTCAAAAAACAAAAACAAGCTGGGGGGTGGCACTCACCTTTAATCACAGCACTTGGGAGGCAGAGACAGGAAGATCTCTGTGAGTTCGAGACCAGCCTGGTCTACAGAGGGAGTTCTAGGACAGGCTTCAAAGCCATAGAGAAACACTGTCTTGAAAAACAAAAACAAAAACAAAACAAAATCCCAGCCTCAGCTGGGTAACCCCAACATTTAGGAGGCAGCAGTAGGAGGATCTTGATTTTTTTTTTTTTTTTTTTTTTTTTGGTTTTTAGGAGACAGGGTTTCTCTGTATTGTTTTGGAGGCTGTCGGTCCAGCCCGGCCTCGAACTCAAGAAGATCCGCCTGCCTCTGCCTCCCAGGTGTTGGGATTAAAGGCGTGCACCCCCCCGCAAGGATCTTGAATTTGAGTTCATTATGTACTGCAAAGTGACCAGGTTTGAAAAATAAAAGAGTTTAAAAAAAAAGACACCCTGGTCTCCTAGTGTAGATGTGACAGGTAGACACAGTTCAGAGACCTACTAATGGGAGAGGTCAAGGTAAGGCTAGCTCAAAAGGGTGACCTTTGATTCTTTCATGTAGGCACATTCCTGGTGGAGGAGGATAGTATCTGCAACAAAATGTAAGCTCTGAGAAACCAAGCAATATGGAGTAACACTTGAACCATGTACCCAGGATGGGGGCCTGGGGTAATGTTATTAGCACAATGTGCACGTAACCGAGAATGAAACACCACTGTTCTATTATCAATTTCAATCTGAAGAAAAGAAAACAAAAAAGAACAGAAAAACTCTCCCTCTTTAAGACAGGAAAAATAAAAGCCTGGGAGCCAAGTGGCCGTGTCTCAGAGGAGCAGGGAGCAGCGGCTCAGGTGCCTAAGCCTGGCCACAGAGGCCACGGCACTCTTAGTGGCAGACTAGAGAAGGTGGGTCACCAGAGTCAGAGGAAACACAGCTTTGACTTTCAAAACAGACTTCCAGGCTGACGAGATGACTCCGTGGGGACAGGCTCTTGCCAAGCCTGATGAGCTGAGCATATTCCCCAGAATCCAGGTGGTACAGAGGAGAACTAACCCCCGAAAGTTGTCCTCTAATTTACATCCACACAAAATAAATAAATGTTAAAAATAAAAACAAGAAGAAAAAGATTTCTACAAGATGTTTCTCCAAGCAACTGATGGTAACTAAGCAGCTCTGAAAAAGCAGCTGATAAAATGAGTCTAGTGAATTCACTTTCCATTGCAAATGGTTTGTGTATAAACATCTGTAAAACTCTGTCTGACACGGTGCAGCGCTCTGAGGCTCTCAAAGCACATGTAACAGTGGTTCAGGAGGCAAGAGAGGCCAAAGGGAAGGAGCACAAAGGGAAGGTTCAACAGGACTCTGAACTGAGTATGTCTTGGTCTGACTGGATTCCAGTTGAGTATGTCTTGGTCTGACTGGATTCCTGCCACCTTTCCTGATCTAACTGGCCCTGAGTTTTGTTAGTCAATTAAAAAGAAACTTTTATGTGTATGGCTGTTTTGCTGCCATGTATAACTATGGACACCATGGACTGTGTGTGGGGTGTGTGTTGGCTAGTTCTTATATCAACTTGACATAGTCTAGAATCATTTGGGAAGAAAGAACCTAGACTGGCCTATAGGCATACTTTCTAGGTATTTTTAAAATTAGTGATTGATATGGGAGGACCCAGCACATTGAAGGTGGTACTACCCCTGGGCCAATGGTCCTTGATGGTGGTTCACTCTTTCAGAGGCTGAGGCAGGAGGAACTCTGAGTTCAAGGCCAGTTTGGTCTACACACAGAGTTCCAGTAGGGATATACAGTAGGGATCTCCAGAAAAACCCTGTCTTGGGGTAGGGGTGAGGTGGGGAAGGCTGAGTAAGCCATGGGAGCAAATTAGTAAGCAGAACTCCTCCATGGCTCTACTTCAGTCCCTGCCTTCAGGTTCTAACCTTGAGTTCCTCTCCTGACCTCCTTTGAAGATGGACTGTGATTTAGAATTGTAAGCTGTAATAAACCCTTTCCTCCCTCAGTTGCTTTTGGTCATAGTACTTTATCGCAGCAACAGAAACAGTAACTAAAACAGACACCATCATCTCAACAACAAATTCCTTTGCTCTCAATTCATAGCACTACAGTATCATCATCATCATCATCATCTTCTTCTTCTTCTTCTGTTTTTGAGACAAAGTCTTGCTCCACAACCCAGGCTATCTTCAAACTGGAAGCAATCTACCTCCCAAATGGTCCGATTACAGGCATATACTATCATCCACCTCTGTAGCTGATCACTATTAAGTTTTAGAAAGGATAATTCTGAACGGACATATACTGAAACATTCAGAGGTAAATGGATGCAATTTACCCTCAAACGGTTAAAAAATATGATTATGTGAACAGGCACACATTTATGTAATATATAATGTTGAAAAAGAATATGTGTGCATATATATATATATTTATATATATAAACTCGTATATATGGAAGGGAAGGAGGAAAAAGAAGGGAATGTCTATGAGTATGTGAGTAGGGAGCTAGAGAAATGGCTCAGTGGTAAAGCATTTGTCTAGCATACATCAATACATACACTTGATCCTTAGCCCCACCCAAAAAAGAAAAGAAAAGAAAAAGCAGGTGTATGGAAGGGCATACCTTTAATATCAGAACTCAGGAGGAGGAGGTGTGTAGAACTTTGTGAGTATAAGGCCTGCCTGGTCCATATAATGAGTTCCAGATCAGCTAGGACTATACAGTGAGAGCTCCTATCTCAGAAACGAAGGGAAAAAAACAAAACAGAAACAGCTTGGAGGGGAGGAGGTATCAAGGGAGAGGCAAATGACCACAAACACAGACTGCATTGCCCAACAGCCAATAATGTGTTGTGTGCTGTCAATTCTGTGCTAGGCTTCATTTTTAACATCCAAAAACGTAAAACAGGAAATTATAGTAGAGGTCTAAGTGGTTCAGAGCATGCATGTTTCTTGCGGAGAATGGAATTTGACTTCTAGCACCAACATGGCAGCTCACAATCATCCACAATTCCCTTTCCAGCAGATCTAATACTCTCTGATGGCACCATACAGGTGGTGCATATACGGACACAAAAGGAAACAGAAAAAAATCAAGGAGACTGGAACACAGGAGATAATTAGGGACAACCATGATCTGAGATGACAACTAACATTATTCTATTCTACATTGTTGTTATTATCACTACTATAATTATTCTACATTAGCAATTAATGTAGGCAAGACAACAAAGGAAGGAGCCAAAAAAAGGGCGGCCCAAAAACAACACCCATTCCAACTCACCCCTCTGAAAAGAAGGCATTGATGATGCGGTCCCCCAGTGGGTTGATGGCAAGTTCTGGAATCCTCTGGAAATCTTCCCGGCTGCCAAGAGAATCACCTTAAGCTAAAGATCTTTGGTATGAACTCCTTTAAATCCAACAAAGTATAAACCAATAAGAATATTGCTTCCTGGAATTATTTCTGTGGCAAATTCAGCAAACAGGTCATGTCAATAAACCAAACAATGAGTAAAAGTAAGCTGCTCCTTAGTTGATTTTTTTTTTTTTTTTTTTTTTTTGGTTTTACAAGACAGGGTTTCTCTGTATTGTTTTGGAGGCTGTCGGTCCAGCCTGGCCTCGAACTCACAGAGATCCACCTGCCTCTGTCTCCCAAGTGCTGGGACTTAATGCATGCGCCCCCACCGCCTGGCTGATTTTATAGTCATTTTTTAAAAAAAATTATTTATTCTTATTTTATGTATGTTGGTGTTTTGCCTGCATGTGTGTCTGTGTGTGATTGTCAGATCTTGGAGTTATAGACAGTTGTGAGCTGCCACGTTGGTGCTGGGAATTGAACCCAAGTCCTAACCACTGAACCATCTCTCTAGCCCCCATTTTGTAGTTATTTAGTTTGGTGCTGTGAACAGCAAATAGACACAATCATCTACCACAGAACTTGAATGTAGGGGCATTCAATTGGAGGAGCCTGAAGACACTGCTTGGGAAGATCTAAAACACATGAAATACAAGAATCCCTCCCTCCCTTTCTTCCTTTCTTCCTTCCTTCCTTCCTTCCTTCCCTTATTTTCAAGACAGGGTTTCTCTGTGTAAAAGGATTGGCTGTCCTGGAACTCACTATGTAGACCAGGCTTGCCTTGAACTCAGAGATCCACCTGCCTCTGTCTCCCCAGTGCTGGGATTAAAGGTGTGCGGCAAAATGCAAGAAATTCTTGAGATGTTTCCACTCAAGGAAAAATACAAAACAAAACTATAGAACTACAGGGCACAGTGGCTCACCCCTATGGTCCCAGAACTTGGAGGCCAGTCTGAACTATAAGTGAGTTCTAGTACAGTTTGAACTACAGAGTGAGACCCTCTCATAGTTTCCCAAGAAACTAACCAAAAAAAAGAAAAAAAAAAGGAAAGAAAAAAGGAAGGAAGGAAGGAAGGAAGGAAGGAAGGAAGGAAGGAAGGAAAGGGAAGGAAAGGAAGGAAAAAAGGGGAAAGAATCCTTTCACAGACAAGAACTAGAGACTTAACCTTGAACATGGTCAGGGCAGTCAACTTCATATAGCATGGAGGCTGTGATACCATTTATTATACAAACATCATGTGCTGCTCCAACTTGATACAGTATCACTGTCTTTTTTCATATCATACTTTATCTGTGCCCTTGTTGAGCAGAAGAAATTGAATCAGAGACACAACTTGTCCTTGCCCCAACTAAAGGGCAGAAATATAGAAATGGTTTAAATCTAAATCAAAATTGTTTTCTTTGTTAAAACTTTCCTATATTGTTGTTATTATTAAGGTATTATTATTATTGTTATTGTTGTTATTATTATTATTGTATGGTAGCCAAGGTTGGCCTTGAATTGAACTCTGTAGTGCAGGCCAGCCTGAACACATGATTTTCCTGCCTCAGCCTCTGAGTCCTGGGATTACAGGCATGTGCTACATCCAGCCCATATTAAACTTTTTGAATACTACTGCCTCAAAAACTGCTCAGTATTTCTCTAAAACTTCGATGCTGTCTTATGTGAGGAATACAAAACTGGTCATGGTTTACTCTTCAATAGTATCAGTGTCATGGTGGACAGAGAAGGAAAGCTGGGCTTCCATCAGTAAGAGAGCACATGCTCAGCAAGTGAAGGCCCCAGGTTCTATCCCAAGCACAAACCCAGTAGAAGACTGTTACAGAGCAAGAGACTGGAGAATTTAAGACTAGGCTTGGGGATGCAGCCCAGTTGCTGAGTGCTTGTACATCATGAAAGAAATCATGGGTTCAATCCTAGCACCACATAAATCAGGCAAAATGGCACATGTCTGAAGTTGCAACAAGGAAGGTAGAGGTAGGAGGATCAGAAGGTCTAAGTCGCCCCTGGTTATGTAATAAACATAAGGGCAGAGCTGGCTGTGGAGGCCCACACCTCTAGTCCCAGCACTCAGAAGGCAGAGGCAGGTGGATCTCTGAACTCAAGGCCAGCCTGGTCTACAGAGAGAGTTCCAGGATAGGCTCCAAAGCTGCAGAGAAACCCTGTCTTGAAAAAACCCCAAACAAACAAATTTAAGGACAGCCAGGGATACATGTGACCTGTCTCAAAAAACAAAACAAAAGAATAGGGGCTAGTAAGATGGCTCCATTGGTCAGTAAAGTACTTGCCATACAAGCCTAAGAACCTGAGTTCAGATCCTCAGCACTCATGCATAAATGTGGCTAGATGTGGCTGCACACATCTGTAACCCCCACACTGGAGAGGTGGGGACAGGCAGACTCCTGGAACTCACTGGCCGGTTAGGTCAGCAGAATTGATGAACTCTAGATTTAGCGAGACCTTGTCTCAAAAATTAACATTGGTTGGGCCAGGTAGCTCATGTCTTAATACCAGTACTAAGGATGTTGAGGCAAAGACATGCAGCTCTCAGAGTTTGAGGCCAGCCTGGTCTACATAGTGAGTTCCAGGCCAGCCAAGGCTAAGTAGTGAGAACCCTGTATAAAAAATAAATTTAAAAATAGAGTGAAGAAGACCTATGAATTCTATACCCACATATACATAAGTGTATGCACATCCATACATGCATATACACAGGCGCACACATATACCATGTGGGGGTGGTAAGAGCAGTAAAAACCAAATATACAAGAGATGATTTACCAGATAGGGCTTTTGCCATTAAGACTAGGTTTACCCCAGTACCCACATGGTATTGGGGAGAGCCAATTCTTTCTAGGTTCATTTGTTTTACTTTATAAGTGTTTTACTATGTTTATGTATGTGTACCACTTGCAAGCCTGGTACCTGGGGAGGTCAAAAGAGGGCACTAGATCCCAAGGAATTGGAGTCACAAATGGTTATGATCCACCAATTGGGTGCTGGGATTACAACCCAGGTTCTCTGCAAGAGCAACAACTGCTCTTAATTGCTGAGTCATCTCTCTAGTCCCTAGAGAGTCCATTTTTTCAAGTTGTCTTCTGACCTCTGAAGGGAGCAGGAAAAAGCACCTTGGCCTAAGTACTGTTATTTTGACTTTAGACTACATTTTGCCTGTAGGGTGAAATAAAGTTCAGGTTCCCAAGTCCTAGGCGAGCTGAGAACTTTCCAATGGCTCACCAACCTTATAAACAGAGGTTTCTCTGTTCTACCCTGTCCCGGAAACCCTTCTAAATAATCACTCAGAGGCTTAATATTAATTACAAGGCCTATAGTTCAGGCTTATTACTAACTAGCTCTTACATTTAAACGAACCCGTTTGTATTAATCTATGTATTGCCACACATGGCCATGGTTTTTACTGGTCGGTTGACATCTTGTTTCTTGGGTAGCTGGCTTGTGTCTTTTCACCCTTCTTTCTCCCTGTATTCAGTTTGGCTTTCCCACATAGCTATATTCTGCCTTGCTATAAGTCAAAGCAGCTTTAATTATCAACCAATGAGAGCAGCACATACTCATTCACGGCTTACAGAAGGGTTATCCCACAGCACAACCTCCTCTCTAAACCACAGAAATAGTTGTTCTGCATCTTTAGTTCTCTAGAAGCATTATGGCTATTCCTAACACTAAAAGGAACAACGTATCTAGTTGGACTGAAAGGCTTGCATTGTATGTGAGTTGGCAATGGTGGAACATTCAAGGAAGCCTCTAATCTCTAAACCCTGATTGGTGAAAATTGTTAACTGTAACTTAGCAACAAATATTTGTAATTCTGGGGCTTATAAACCCTATTTCTGCCCCTGCTCTGGGCTTTCAGGAGAAACAAGGTTTCCAAGTCCTTGTCCTGCAACCCTGATTGATTAGTCACCTGCTTATGTGGCAATTTAATAAAATCATTGGAACCTATAAGTGTTGTCTATCTCCTTCCACATAGCACTTAATGGGCTAGGCGGAACTTTTGGAGGCCCCACCAAGATGTACCACTGAGGAACGGGATATAAATGTCCAATAGGCAGAGTCAGAGTCCTCCAGAAGCAGGTAAGGCTTTGACTCCAAGGTTTGGACTCAAAAAGGAGGCCCAATATGGCCGCACTCCTTGAGTTCAGGGAAGAGGAGGGACACCTCTCTTAACCCAGGGGGTCCCAGCTCAGATCCTGTCTCTCCAGTTGCTAGGTGTAACACCTCTACACACAAACATATATACATACCAATAAATAAATGTAAAACAAACAAAAAACCCAAGAAATAAATTATAAACACTATACATGATTTTAGACTAGAAAAATTGCTGTAAAGCATATCACATCAACTATATAGAATGTAGACACATTTAATATAGACAATAACAAGATAGTGCTGCATCAAAATACTAATTTTTAAAATTATCTTATTTTATGTGTATGGGTGTTTTGCCTGCATGTATGTCTGTGTACCATGTGTATACCTAGTGCCTGAGAAGGCCAGAAGAGGGTGTCAGATGCCATGAAACTGGTGTTACAGATGACTGAATTACCCTGTGGGTGCTGGGAATGGAGTCTGGATCCTCTGGAAGTGTAGTTAGTGTTCTTAACCACTGAGCCAATTTACAAGCCCCTTGCCCTTTCTTTTCTTTTTTGTTGGGGGGGGATCTCTCTATATAGCCCTGGCTGTCCTAAAACTCACTCTGTAGACCAGGATGGCCTCAAACTCACAGAGATCTGCCTGCTTCTGCCTCCTGAGTGCTGGGCTTAAATGCCTGGCTTCTTGATCTTCCTAAATCTACCTCACATGTGTTAGAATTACAGGCTGTTGCTCCCATACCCCACAAAATAAAGTTTTTAATTATTTTTAATTTTTTTGTAATGTGCATTAGTGTTTTGCCTGCATATATGTCTGTGTGAGGTGTCAGATCCCCTGGAATTTGAGTTACAGACAGTTGTGAGCTGTCATGTGGGTGCTGGGAATTAAACCCAAGTCCTCTGGAAGAGCAGCCATTGCTGTCAATCATTGAACCTTCTTTCAGGCCTTATTTATTTAGAAATGGCATGTCAGATACCACTGGCTGCCCTTGAACTTCCTATGTAGCCAAAGATGAACTTCCAATCCTTTTGCCTCTATCTGCTAAGTGCAAGTATGTATGGCCAGACCCAGTTGTGAGGTACTGGGGATAAAATTGGGGCTTTATGGGTGCTAAGCAAATATTCTACTAACTGAGCTATAGTCTCAGCCCTCATTTTTCCCATGTTGATTTAAGTCTTTGTTATAGGAAATATAACAAAGTACATACAAGATGTTAGTATGGGGACGGGGGTGGAAAAGGACTGCACAGATGGCCCAGCAGAGGACCTAGGTTCAATTCCCAGCACCAACATGGCAGCTCACAACTGGCTTACTACCTAGACTTATACTGCCACTTCAATCCTCGGAGCCCACATGGTAGAAAAAGAGAACAAGACTCCCACAAGTTGGCCTTTAACTCCAGTACACATCCCCTCCAACACCTACTACCCACATACACAGTAAATAAATGTAAAGAAATAAGTTAGAAACTCTAGAAACTTGAATAGATCTCATGCCTGCTTCCAAGAAGTATATTAACAGAAAACAACAGGCACATGTCTCTACTCCCCTAACAGTAAACACTAATGAAAGAATACGAAACATTGCTATTGCACTCAGGTGTTTTCATACTCTTCCAGGAGTGGTTTAATCTTTACCTGGTGCTGATTAACTGAGCTAATTCCTCTCCACCACATCTGGTAACAGGTGGAAACTGACCTAGTGGACTGAGTATAAAGCACTGGGACAATACTGGATTTAATCTTCCTTGATCATCTAGGAAACTGAATTTTGTTACCAATGAATGAATGAAAATAGCCATTCATAACTGATTAAGATGATAAAGAAGATTGCTAGTGTCTGGACTGTTAATTCATCAAAAATTATTACATAATTTGTCCTATAATACAAAAGTCTACCTGCTCAGCAAAATGTACTTCCTTTTGTTGAACAAGAGGTTAAAAAACAATCCTTGGGGCTAGAGGGATGGCTTAGCAGTTAAGAGCACTGATTGCTCTTCCAGAGGACGTAGGTTCAATTCCTAGCACCCACATGGTAGCTCACACCTGTCTATAACTCCAGTTCCAGGGCTTCTGACACACTCACACAGACACACATGCAAGCAAAACACCAATGACATTAAATAAAAATACAATATATTAAAAAATTCTCACTTTTACATGAAAACAAAGGTTTATTTAAGTTCTATGATTCATTTCAATAGCTTAGTTTTAGCTGAAAGCACATACCTATAAATAACAAGTATCAAGTAGTGGGTATACAATCCTCCATATCAGTTCAGACTCTATGATGGGACCTAAACATGGATTTCCAATGTCATAAGGACTTACATCCTGTCTTTCAATACCAATTGTGTTTTTGCTTACTTGTTTTTAAAGCTAGGGCCTTACTATGTAATAGCTACATAGTGAACCCCAGGCTGCCTCAACCTCCCAAGTGGGAATTACTGATGTTCAACACCAAGCCTGGCTCATCTCGAGTTTTTTTTTGTTTTGTTTTGTTTTTCAAGACAGGGTTTCTCTGTGTAGCTTTGGAGCCTGTCCTGGAACTTGCATTGTAGGCCAGGCTGGCCTTGAACTCACTGAGATCTGCCTGCCTCTGCCTCATAAGTGATGTGATTAAAGGCATTTGCCACCACTGCCTGGCTCATCTCTAGTCTTAATTCACAGATGGCCAGTGAAGGATATTGAATACTCTGCAGCTATAGACACAGGCAGTTGTAAGCAGCCTTATGTGGGAGTTGGAACAGAACTCAGGTTCTCTGCAAAAACATATGTGCTCTTAACCCTTGGGACAACTCTGCAGTCCTAGTGTAGCATAATTCTTGGTCAAGGTGCTACTAAAGGATAGCTGGCTACATCTCAGCAGCATTTCCCAATCATGACTATCAAAAATGCTTTTAGACAATCTGTCCCTGGATGGTAAACCAGCCTTCAGATGAGAACCAGTGATCTAGACAAAATGCTCACTACCTAGTCTAACTTTATATTAATGTCATGTTCCCTAAAGTTATGTGTTGGAACATGATAGACCCAAGGATGGGTCAGTTTTATAAAAACCAATGTGCTGGGCTGGAGGGATGGCTCAGTGGTTAAGAGCAGTGACTGCCCTTCCAGAGGACCAGGGTTCAATTCCCAGTACCCACATGGCATCTCACAACTGTCTGTGATTCCAGTTCCAGGGAACCTGACACCCATGGCAAAGCAAAAACATACGTAAAATAAAAATAAATACAATTGAAAAATAAGACAAAATAGTGTATTTGGAAGAGCCATGGGAAAATGTTTATGAAGAGAGCAGGAATCTAAAAAAAAGAAAAAAAAAGTTCAGCTACAAGCTTTTAATCCCAGCACTTGGGAGGCAGAGGGAGGTGGAACTCTCCGAGTTCAAGGCCAGACTGATCTACAAAGCAAGTTCTTGGACAGCCAGTGCTACACAGAAAAGCCCTGTCTCGAAAAACAACAACACCAAACAAAACTTTCTAGGACTAGAACAGTAGTCACCTGAATATAGAGGGAGTTGGTATGAAGCAGCAAAAGCCTGGCCATGAATTAGCATCATTGTTCTGCTTATTTAATTCCTCGGTGGACTAATGATCCATAGACACCAAGGCCAAAATGGTTGTTGTCCTCCAAACCTACCCTTGGAATAAAGACAGCTGCTAGGGAGTTCCTGGTTTCTGGGAGGGAAAAGGAAGTGCTCACCTGAGAGTCCCATTCTCTCCTTTGTCCAGGCTGGTGAACCGGCTGTACAGGCGTGTGATCTGACTGTGAGAAACTAAAAAGAACAAAATTAGTCCCAACTGAAGAAGGAGACATGCATTCACACTACACCCACAGCCCATCACATGCTTCAGTGTGAAGGAGATGGGGAGCTGTGCAACTGTTTCTAGAACGTAAAAACAGCAAATTAAAAACAAAAAACAAGCCGGGTATTGGTGGCGCACACCTTTAATGCCAGCACTAGGGAGGCAGAGGCAGACGGATCTCTGTGAGTTCGAGGCCAGCTGGTCTACAGAGCTAGTTCCAGGACAGCTTCCAAAACAATACAGAGAAACCCTGTCTCAAAAACAAACAAACAAAACACACACACACACACACACACACACACACACACACACACGCCCACACACACACACACACACACACACACACAAACTAAAGAGTAGGAAGAGTTGGAAAGGAAACTAAATCAAAAGCAATGAAAACCGGCTCTGAAAACGAAGAGTAGGCAGCCAGGCTGTTGTGGTGAAGGACTTTTAATCTCAGCACTTGGGAGACAGAGGCAGGAGATCTCTGTGAGTTCAAGGACAGCCTGGTCTACAGAATGAGTTCCAGGACTACACAGAGAAACCCTGTCTGGGAAAACCAAACCAAACGAAGAGTAGGCTTATCATTTCCAACACACACACACACACACACACACACACACACACACACACACACACACACACACGAGGTATTAATAAGAATCTGTCCACAAAACAACAGGAGCTGAAGGCATAATTCAGTGGTTAAGAGCACTCTTCCAGAGGACCTGAGTGTTCAGTTCCCAAAACCCAGTGAGGTTGCTAGCAACATCTGTAACTCCAGCTCCAGGGAATAACTGCTCCCATGACCTCCAGCACAAGCTCAGCTAAAAGCAGTTTGTAACTGTAGGTGTACAACACTGTACGTGCAAAAGGCATTGTTAGGAGACAGTTTAGTCTTCTGTAGACTGGAGGCAAGAAGAAACAGTGACTGCAGGAGAAAAGATTCCAGCCCCAAAGCAGGAAACAGGTTCAGACTTTGTCTCTGCTGCATCTGTTAGGCACTAGGGGTTAATTAATGGAAGTGTGGTTCTGGCAGTTGTCCTCCTGAAGCTCGAGCAACAAGACTGGACTTGCTGCATTAAGAACAATGAAACAGAGTAAACAAGGCAGGAGGTGAAGGATGGGGCAGAGACGAGAGGACAGACACACCAGGGCAGTCGTGACGTCTTTGGAATTAGCTTCATCTTTGAGGTGGAGCTCTAAGAACTAAGGTGTGCAGACAATAGGACAGCTAAGGAGGCACAACCACTCCCATCAGGAAGAGCAAGCAGGGGCAGGGCTGCTAAAGGCCTCAGGTGGGCACTCTGCTGCCAGCCAAGCAGGCTTGGAGCAGCTCTTTGTAAAGCGTCCACACTTAGGACAGCCAGGTAAAAAGATTCTAATTCCATTCACGGTACCACAGGGGGAATGTGAATGCTGGCGAAGGGGAAAGGCTTGGCAAAGCCCCGGAGTTTGGAAAGCACACCAAGTGAACTAGTAACATCACGTCAGCATCCCTTCAGGAGAGCCTCAAGTTCACACTGCTATGCTAACTTCTCTCCACTTTCTTGACCATGCCATCCCAGGTGCTTTCTTTAGGAATCTGATCAATTTATCCAGGCCTGGCATGTGGCCTCAAAGGCTACTCTTGTAACAAAATCTTTAGTTTTAACTAAGTCAGTTAAAGAATAACTACATTTCCCAAAAAGTCTTGAAAAATAAATCTATGTTTACCATCTCAACATTTTTCCATTTCTTTAATATATCATCTAATACCATTCATTTGTATACTTTAGATCCAATAGCTTAATTTTATTCTTTAATAATGTGTTTTTTTTTATTTTATGTACACTGGTGTTGTTGTCTGTATGTAAATCTTTATGAGGGTGCCAGATCCCTCAGAACAGGAGTTACAGACAGTTGTGAGCTGCCATATGGGTGCTGAGAATTGAAATTGGGTCCTCTGGAAGAGCAGCTAGTGCTCTTAACTGCTGAGCCATCTCATCTTTCATACTGGTGTTGAATATTTTAAAAATATGCTTATTTTTTATTATGTTTCTAGGTCCATGCAAGTGAGTGCTGATGCCCTCAGAAGCTACTGGAATCCATCACCTATATTTTGGATCTAATGTTGTGATGATAAAATTAAACACAGCTTTGCAAATAACAACTTGCTAACTTGGGAGGCAGAAACAGGTGGATCTCTGCAGATCTCTGAGATAGAGGCCAGCCTGGTCTACAGAGTGAGAAGGACAAGGAGAAAATAAATTAAATAAATTGCCTTGTGCCTGGTAGTGGTGACACACACCTTTAATCTTAGCACTGGGAAGGCAGAGACAGGTGATCTCTTGAGATCCAGGCCGACCTGGTCTACAGAGAGAGTTTTAAAGACAGCCAGGGCTACACAGAGAAACCCTGTCTCCAAAAAACAATAAAACAAAGAGTGTGCTAAATCCACTGGGACAAAGAATATAAAGCAACCTCCAAATTGTACCATAGTGTAGAGCTGACCTTGAACTCATTCTATAGCACAGGCTATCCTTAAAGTTGCAACCCTGCCTCAATCTCCAGACTGTTAGTATTACACACATGCACCACCACATTGGGTTTCATCTACCCTTAAAAGAACTACACAAGCCATGTGCATAAAAGTATTGGAACTGCCAGGAATAAAGGCAGGACCTGTTTCCAGTAACTGTAACATCCTTGGAAACCCAAAGGAAATCTCAGGAGTTAAGTTTCCCTTAGAACAGACAGACTATGACTGTCTTAAGTGAATCTCTAGTCCACTCTGTTGATGGGCAAGTAACTATTTTATACTGAAGACTGAAAAGATCCCGCTAACATTGAGTCCAGCGCTCTCTATCATTTCTGCCTCATGTTCAGGGATGGAAGGTATTTCACAGACATGAAACACCAAGGTGGCCTGGCAGGGGGAAACATGAAGAGTTGAAGAAGGTAAGTGAAAGCATTCTCATCCTGTCTTAATGAAGAAGACAACCTGGATTAAAGCATACAACTGCAGGCAATAGCAGCTCTGGGAGAAAATGCAGAGTTGAGCCTACACCTCAAGCCATTCTTTTTAATGCTTCATGCCCTGACTTTAAGATTTAACCTCTTCTCTTGAGAATGAAAGGAAACCACTGGGCAGTGGTGGCACATGCCTTTAATGCCAGGAGGCTGGCAAATCTGAGTTCGAGGCCAGCCTGATCTACAGAGTGAATTCCAGGACAGCCAGGGCTATCCAGAGAAACTCTATCTCAAAAAACAACAAAAAATAGACCAAGAAGAGATTTTCTAAAACAAGCAGGGAATGGACCTTAAGGAATGGCTTCCAACCCTAGCCCAACAAAAAACAAAGCGAACCAAACAACAAACAAAATGCATCTTCTCAGAATGGGGCAAACTTCAGTATTACTGGTCAGTAGGTAACAGAAAATCACTATGTACTTTCTTAGGAATGATGACAGTACTGCAGTTATCAAGTTACATGTCTTCCTCTTCCTACACAAGGCATGAAAGTAACTGAGGGTAAAGTCCTGTGAGTTGATACCAGCTTGGCTGGTGAGTACCAGGTCAACCAGGGTTACAAAGTACAGCAAAAACAAAAATAAAAAACTAGAGTTGGAGGTAGATCTCAATGGTACATCCCTTTCTAAATATACACAAAAGTCAGACTATTAGGTTCAATCCCTTACACCAAAATAAACAGATTAATGAACAGAAAATAAACATATCAAACAACTACGGCAAAACTATAACAACAAATGTATTAATAGGAACGGGTATTGGTGAACCTTTATTGTCAACCTTTCTGTATATTTGAAAGTTTACACTACAAAGTCTGAACTCTTTTTTTTTTTTTTTTTTTTTTTTGGTTTTACGAGACAGGGTTTCTCTGTATTGAGGTTTTTGTTTTGTTCAGGTGGTTACTGCTCCTGCTGTTTGTTTAAGATTGTAACATTTATTTTTAAGAGTGTTTTGCCAGAATGTATATATGTGTACCATGTGTGTACTTAATGCTAGCAGAGGCCAAAAAAGGAAGTTACAAATAATAGTGACTGACATGTGGGTGCAGAGAATTAGCTTGGGTCCTCTGTAAGACAGCAAGCGCTCTTAACTGCTGAGCCACCTCTTTTTGTTTTAAAAATTATAGTTATGTGTATGCACACACATGTTCACATGTGTTTGCACACAGCCCACATGTGAAAATTAAAGGACAACTTATCAGAGTCAATCCTTTTTCCACCATGTGGGTTCTGGGAATCAAACTTGGGACATCAGGCGTGGTGGCAAGCACCTTTACCGGAGGAGCCCTGTGGTCAGCAAAAGATAGCATCATGCTATACAATCTATTCTGGCCTTGAACTCATAACCCTCTGATCTTAGCCTCCCCAGTGCCCACTGGGGTGACAGGCATAAAATAAGCTACCACATTTAGAACTGGTATGAACTCTCATCTTTTGAATCTAATATATTCAGGCCAGGTCACTATATGTTTGCCTTTTACTGCATACAACCTAAGTACGTGCTCCTGCTCTTCCATAATAGTGTTGATTGCATGTAACATGTGTATTAGTTTACTACCATGAGGTTTTTCTGCTTAAACTCAGAAGACAGCTTCTATCCCTGCAGCTGTCTTCTCAGTGAATTTCTATGTAAACTTCAAGTCTATGCTCTGAAGCCCTTCCTCATTCCTAAGGTTCCACTCCTTCAGAGTTCTCTATCTTGACACAGAGTCCTCCTTACCCTTAGTCAGAAATGGGATGGGGAGAAAACTAGAGGGATACAAAGCTTTACAAATGATGCTGAACCTGCTAAAGACATTATCTGTGCATTTCCAATTCAACAGGAGACGAAACAAGACAGGAGGGTCCTTTGTACTCAGAACCCTCCGACAATGGGGTGTGACTGGGAGAGTACAGGAAGGGGCCCAGAAGGTACAGCAGCCAGAAGCTCAATCTCAAGAAACCGTTCTCAAGTAGCTTCCTTTGTCAGGCTTGTACTCTGCTGGAACTAGAGACCCACACCCTTCATGTCATCACTACACCCTTCCAAACAAACAAAAACTCACTGGTCTGTACAACTCACTTCCTAACCCTGCTCAACACCCTGCCCATACCCACATGAACACACACAAGAGGTCAGAAACTAAAAATAAACCAATCTGCATTCACCACTATTTAGTTGGCATGAACCTTTGCTCAAAGTTAAGGTTTCTGGCAATCCACAGCCACGCTATTCCTATGGTTAAGTGAACTAAGGGTCATTACAGAAATTTCTAAGACACTGCAACCTCCCTGTAACTACGTCTCATTCATATGTGCTGACTTGTAAAAATGTAGAAATGTGAAAGAAAGCGATGGAACAAAGGCTAACAACGAAGCGTTTTATAACAACCAAGTGTTTCTTTCTTTCCAGACAGGGTTCCCTGTGTAGCCCTGGCTGTCCCCAACTCAGAGATCCACCTGCCTCTGCCTCCTGAGTGCTGGATTAAGGTGTTTTGTGGTGTTGACACACCTGTAATCCCATTGCTTGGGAGGCTGAAGCATCAGAACCTCAAATTTGAGGCCAGTCTGGGCTACACAGAACCTGTAAAGGAAAAAAGAAAAAGAAGAGGAGGAGCCAAGCCTTTGCCAAGGGTGCTTAGTTAGATAAACTCACACTCTGTCTCTAGGGCAGAGGACTGACCCTGTAGCCCACTGGGCTAACAGATACTGGGACACCCTAGGTTAATCATCAAAAATGAATCCATTTATTGTCAAGATCCAATTCCTGCATTCCACACGACCAGCTCACAACTCTTCCCTAAATCCTGAAGGTGGGTGCGCAGGATTTCAGCTTCCTTATGCCCTGATGCTGATCATAACTCTCTTTGGCTCATCTCCCCAGCCAGGTTGTGGGTGTCTTTTGTCACCATCTGTTCTGAATACCTAACATAATATTAAACAGACACTGCAAAATTTCAGTAAGTTCTTGTCTCACTAGGCTTTCCCAGTCAATACATACACTGGTTTTAGTGGCAATCTTTATCATACTTGAATCACTCTTGGGTAACCAGGATAACAGTTCTTCCATGATTACTTAGGTTTGTCCATGGGTCACAAGGCAAAATAATTCAGTCCTACAGCCACAACTTATGAAAAGAAACTGGAATGACATTACTGTCCCGTTCACTCAGAAGCAAAAACAGCATTTCCCTAGTTGGGCGTAATGGCTCATATTTACAATCCCAGCACCCAGGAAGCTGAGGCAGGAGGACTGGCATGAATTTGAAACTAGCCTAGGCTATGCAGTGAGACTTTTTGCTTTGTTTTTAAAGGCAGGCTTCCCTGTGCAGTCCTAGCCACTCAGGAGCTTGTTATGTAGACCAGGCTGCCCTCAAACTCAGAGATCCACCTGCTTCTGCTGGGACTAAAGGTGTGCATCACCAGGCCCCGTTTACCTAGTGAATTCTGAGCAAGTCTGTGCTACAGAATAAAACCTTGTGCCAGAAAGCAAAACAAAACAATGGCTTGTCCCATATACATTACACTTTTTCATGATGTGACTTGTGTGCTTTAAACACAGATGATTTAATTTGTTTGTCATCCTAGATGTAAAGAAGTCATTGTGTTTACAAGTGTAGTCAGAGGTCAATGGCCACAAAATGGAGTAAAATGCTTGCTGAATCCAGCTGCCTGTATTTCTACTCATGGAATCAGAATAAGACATGAAATCCCCAAAAAGGTGAGTTGTCAAACAAAAGCTATAAAAAGCTAAGTCATTTCTGCCATTCACTGAAGGTTATGAAAAGGGTCACCCTGATTAAGCAGGTAGGTTAGCATGGTTAAATAAATATCTTGGCAAAACTTAGCAGCCATATGTGTTATCGAGGTATGGTAAAGAAAGCAAGCCAACTCGATAGGAGGTGGAGCTAGATAACATCTCTTCCAACTTGAACTTGTCGGATGGCCACGGCAGCTTTTACTTCACCCAAGGACTCCTTTCCTGGAGAATTCGGCAGTTCACCCAGTAATCCCTCAGTACTATTTGCCATTGTTGTTACTCGCTGCTCACAGTATTATCAAAGACAGGCATCACGAAGACACAGCTTACAAAGGTTCACTGAGGAAGCTAGCAATACAATTGTATCACACACTACCAAGTGCTTTTCAAAGGTATGGTGGCGTTTTCAGTGCTTCTGAGTTCCTACAGCCTGCTGCTCCTTCGTTCAGGTTAACAAGAACCCAGAGTATATAGTAAATAAAAAAATCTGTTCCTGTTACAGCTCACAGATTTTGGTGTATATCCAGTTTCAATATCAACTACATAAGATACAGCAATATAGCAGAAAGCAATATATATATGAAAATATGACAAGTGTCCTTATTGTATCTTTAAAACCCTGGTCACTATACCCGTGCTTTTCCTCCAACCGTTCAGATTAAATAGTCTCAGGTGTTCAGACTCTTGATTGCTCACAGGTCTCCAGTCCCCGACCACAAGCCTTACTATATCATCTTCTTTTCTGAGTCTATTATTTCCTGTGTGTGATTTTAATAGTTTGAGGTCCTTGCTGAGAAACTTCATTGGAATGTATTACGTCTTCTCCAGGAACCTGAATGGTTCCTGGATTGGCTTCTGCTTTACCTACTGTTCGGGATGCCTCCGTAAGAGGAACGATAAAGAAAATTCGCGAGCTTTCATGGGCAAGAGTGGAGTGGTGGTGTCTGTGCTCCGTGGCTGGATCGAGATTTCGAGCTGTGGCAAGACAGCCACAGCCGGGCTCCGGGAAGCTACAGATGAACGCTCAGGTACTCTAGCCTTCGGATATCCAAAGCACCGGAGGCTGCACGGGACCCTCCCAACAAAGTCACCGCACCCAGATCAAGAGCTCAGCGGCGACTGCCCTTAGTACTGAGGCCAGCTGGAGACGCCGGGCCGCCTTCCCACCCCCAACCCGAACTCACAGCCAGTCTCCTTCTTGATCTCCTCGAGCTCTTCGTCCCGCAGTAATGTGGAGGCCCGAGACCCCATCACCGCGGCGGGAGCTCCTCCGGGAGCGGCTGCGCCAGAAGCTACTGCGGCAGGAGGGAAGGGGGAGGGAAGGGCCAGGGGTCAAGAAGGGAGAGGGCACTGTTTCTCTTGCGGCCCGGGGAGGGAAACGAGGGGTGGCGCGCGGGGGAGGGCGGCCCGATACCAGCCAATCGGGAGCGAGGCCGCGCCCTGCGCAGGCGCCAACGTCAAAGCTTGGCGATCGAGCCCGGAATGAATCAGCCCGGCGGCTGCGGGAGTCCAAAGGGAGACAGACTCCGCCCCCGGAACCGCAGGTGCCGCCGGCCTTAAAACGGCGATGCCACTGGGGCGCTAGCCAACACGGTTAAAAGGGCAGTGCTGCGGGGCCACCGTTTTCAGACAAACCGGAGGCAGACTCACAGCGCAACCCACAGGTTTCTCTGAGGTCTCTAACTCCAAGGAATCCCACCCGACAGGTGACAGGAATTGAGAGAAACAAACCCTGATCCCCAGACCGGGCCTAGCGCAGACTTTCCTGCTCTCTCTGTGTCTCCCTTCTTTTTCCTCGCCCCCTCCTTCTCCCACTCCCACTGCCCCTCCCCAGGCCACTGATTTGGTTAGTGTTGCGCTGGGGACCGCACGCCGATTGGTGGTAGAGGAGCGCTGGGCGCAGGCTCAGGGCAGCAAGCTGATTGGCTCCTCCGGAAAGCCGCAAATCGTTCGCCCCGCGGCGTAGTAGGCGCTGCGGTTTCAGCGGCTGGCGTAGCGAGCTTTTATCCGGTTTGTGTCAAGGCTGTGCCAAGGTTAACTCCCAGATTTCTTCTTTAACAGTAGTCCCTCTTCAATTCAAGGAACTCACCATCTGACTGAAATTAAGGTCCTGGTTTCCCAAACTTCTTTGTCTGGGGGTGTGTATTGGGGTGGGTGGTAGAGGACCCTAAAGGTGAGAAGGTGAAGGAGATTGAATATCTTGAGCAGGGACTGTCATTTATTTATTTGAAATTTTTCTGGTTTTAAAAATGAGGACTTTTAAACTGAGCCAGACCTTGTTAAGTGAAAGCACGAAAGTTGTAAATTGAGCAAAGCCCAAGAAATACTGGGAAATTCTGTTCAAAGGTTTTGGTTTTGTTGGGGGAGGGGACTTTCGAAACTGGATTTCTCTGTATAACAGTACTAGCTGTCCTGGAACTCAACTCCGTAGACCAGGCTGGCCTCTGCCTCCAGAGTCCCGGGATTAAAGGCGTGGGCCACTACCACCTGGCTCCAAGAAGGTTTTTTTTTTTTTTTTTTTTTTTTTTTGCCACTCATGGATACTATGCTTCTAATCCCAGGAGGTGGGGGCTGCAGGATTAGTTTATGCTTCATCATAGCGAGTTCGAGGCCAGCCTGGGTCCATAAAACCCTTCCCAGAATCGGGGAAAATTTTTTTTCCCCAAAAGAGCCCTGGCTGGTCTCAGCCTCTTAAATGGCTGGAGTTACACACTTGAGCCTCCACGCTGGTCTTGCGCCCTCTCCCCCTCTCCCCCTCTTCCTCTCACCTTCTCCCTCTTTCTCTCCCCCCTCTCACTCTCTCCCTCACCCTCTCGTACCCTCCCTCACCGTCCCTCCCCTCCCCCCTCTGGTTTTGTTTTTTGAGACAGGGCTTCTCTGTGTACTCCTGACTGCCTTGGAATTCGCTATGTAGAGCAGGCTGACCGACCTCGAACTCAGATACTTGCCTGCCTCTGCCTCCCGAATGCTGGGATTCAAGGCTTGCACCACCACTGACTGCCCAACTCGAATTTTATTCTTATGGATGTTTTGTGTGCTCTAGAGAAAAAGTTAAAAGCCTCATGTGAGTATGCACCCTCAAGTGAAGCAGCGGTTCTCCTGCCGCCATCACCCTTTGTTTGGAACCAGATTGAGAGATGGAAGGAATCCTCATCACTATTACTCAGTACCGAAATATCTTAGCATCTTTCTCAAATCACCTTAGGCACCCAGCTTCAAAGTTACTTACGCCATTGCTGCTCAGCCTGAGTCCCCAAGGCTTCCCTGACCACTGAATCTCTAGTGTGACTCAGTTGTTTTCCTAATTAACCCCTCTTGTCTTACGCCATCTGCCATCAGCCTTCCTATGCTGATGGTAACATTTTGAATACGGCAGTCGAGAGCCCTTTCTCTGACACATACATAACCCCTTTCTCAGTAGGCCTAGAAACTCATCTCTTCATCTTCACCTTTTTTCTTCCTAATTTTTAATACAAATTTTGATGACTGTGTCCAATATAACCCTTTGTGTTAGGTCTGGTGGCTGATGTCTATAACCACAGCATTGAGGAAGCAGAGGCAGAAGTATCTTTGCAAGTTCAAGGTCACCATGGTCTAGATAGGGCATTCGGGCCAGCCAGAGGAAGATCCTGTCTAAAAACAAAAAGGAATAACGAAAATTTCCTTTCTATGTGGGTTTTTTTCTCTGATTTGTTTTAACCTTTAAAAAATGGTGTTTGTGTGCTAGGCAATGGTGGTGCAGACCTCTAATCCCAGCACTCAGGAGGCAGAGGCAGGCAGATCTGAGTTTGAGGCCAGTTTAGTTTAACAGAGTAGGTTCCAAGACAGCTAAGGGTACACAGAGAAACCTGTATTGAAAAAATAAAACAAACAAAAAGGTATTTGTGTGGGAGAGAGATGTGTGTGTTCTCACCATTGGAGACTAGAAGAGGGCACCCTAACCCTGGAGCTGGAATTGAGGAGTTGTGAGCCACCAAATGTGGGTTCTGGGAAACCCCCAAGCTCAGGCCCTCTGAAAGACACAAAGCACCCTTCACTGCTGAGCAGCTTTCTGCTGCCACATTGGGCCTGTCTCTAATTTTCTTCCTTCCTAAGGATTTCATAACTTTTCAATTTTGAACATCCTAGCCTTGTTAGTGTGTATTGTCTATGTCCTAGGGCTACAGAGATGGCTCAGTGAGTAAGAGAGCGTACTGCTCAAAATGAAACTTGAATTCAGTTCCAAGCACCCACCTAGAAAGCTGTCATGGCCACACACAAGCCTGAATCCCAGTGCTATGGAGAATAGAGACAAGAAGACTCCAGTCTCAGTGAGAAACTATCTCTCAAAGGAATAAAACAGAGAGTGATCCTCTGTTTTCTCATCTGTAGATATGGTTCTGGTTGTCACAGATATCAATATTATTGAGAGCCCTTCCTTAAAGTATAAAAATATAGCTGGCTGTGGTGGCATACACTTTTAATCCCAGCAGTTGGGAGGCAGAGGCAGCCGGATCTCTGTGAGTTCAAGGCCAGCCTGGTCTACAAAGCCAGTTACAGAGGAACCCTGTCTTGAAAAGTCACACAAAAGAATACTGGGGCTAAAGACTACTCCTGTAGAGAACTTTTGTGTTCAGTTCCCAGTACTCATTTGGTGACTTACATCATCTGTAACTTCAGCTTCTTTTGGCCTCCAAGGGCTCTGCATACATGTGACTCACAGACATAGATTCAAACAAAGCACCCATACATATAAAATAACAATAATAAAAGCCCAGTGTGATGGTACATGACTTTAATCCCAGTACTCTAAAGCATACTCTGTGAGTTCTAGGCCACCTGTTCTACAAAGAGTTCTAGGGCTACACAGTGAGACTCTGTTTCAAAAAATATAATAACAATAATAATAATAAATTAAAACTTTTAAAATTAAGGCTGGAGAGATGGCTCAGAGGTTAAGAACACTGACTGCTTTTCCAGAGGTCCTGACTTCAATTCCCAGCTACCACATGGTGGCTCACCACCATCTGGAATGAGATCTTGTATCCTAGCATGCAGGCATATGTGCAAGCAGAACACTGTATACATAATAAATAAATCCTTTAAAAAACCTTCTAAATAATAACCACAATATTGGGGCTAGGGATGTATCTCAGTGGTAGAATGCTTGCTTAGTGTGTGTAAGGCTCTGTGTTCAGTACCCAGCATCACCAATATAAACAGACAAAAACACTTGGGAGCTGGGAAGTTGACTCAGTGAGAACCAGACGTAGCATATGTCTTCAATTGCAGCATCCAGGATGCAGAGGCAGCTACATCTCTGAGCTCCACACCAGGCTGATCTTTATAGCAAATTCTATGCCTGCCACAGCTATGCATTAAGACTTTATCTCACTAAAATAAGTAAAAAGCCTCTATTTAATTTTGATGAGAAAGGAGGTACCATGCCCATTTTTTAAATTGAAAATTTTTTTTTCACACAATATATTCTGATCATGATTTCTCCTCCCTCGTCTCCTCCTAGATCTTCCCTACCTTTCCACACTTCCAATTCCATACCTTCTTTCCCTCTCTGTAGAAAAAAAAAAACACACACACACACACCTTTAACCCCAGCACTTGGGAGGCAGAGGCAGGCAGATCTCAGTGAGATTGAGGCTAACCTGGTCTACATAGTGAATTCCAGGACAGCCAGAGTTACATAGTGAGACCCTATCTCAAAAATACAACTACAAAGCAAAAAACAGGTAAATAAACAATAAAACAAACAGAAAGGACAAGAAACATGCAAAGTTCATAAAAACAAAATTGGAAACCATAATAGACAAGCAAAAGTTCAGTAAAGAGGCTGGGCAGTGGTGGTTTGCACCCTTAATCCCAGCTCTCAGGAGGCAGAGACAGGTGGATCTCTGTGAGTTAGAGGCTAGCCTAGTCTACAAAGAGAGTTCCAGGACAGGCTCCAAAACTACACAAATAAACCCTGTTTTTTTTTTGGGGGGGGGGACGTCCAGTAAGGTAAAGAATTCCCAGACAAAGCAGTATCAGAAAGTAGTTCCTTTTTTGTAGGCCATGTTCTACTGGACACAGAGTCTGCCCTCAAATGTGGTTTGCATAACCAATGAAGCTCTATTGAAGAAGGTGATTTTTCCATTGTAAGCAGTTGTCAACTGGAGATAGATTTCTTAGTTAGAGATGAGAGCTCATGTCCATTTTCCTTATCAACGCTGGGACCCCATCCATCTTGGACCTGTGCAGACTCTGTGCATAGTCTGTGAGTTTATATGTTCCTTAGTCCCCTTGTGTCTAGAAGACACTGTTTCCTTGATGTCATCCATCCCTTCTGGCTCTTAAAATCTTTCAACTTCCTCTCTTCCACATAATTCACTGACCATACCCATTTTATAAACAAAACAGCTAATCTTGTCTTGCCCATAGCCCTACAGTTTTGAGTTTCCCACAAATGAATTAAACTTGTGGGGCTGGACAGATCAGTGCTTAAGATCTCTTGTGAGGACACAACTTTAGTTCCCAGCAACCATCAGTAACTCCAGTTTCAGGGCATCTGGCATCCTCTTCTGGCCTCCTCAGGCACTAAACTGATGTGTGTAGACATACATAGAGGCAAATCACCTTTATACATAAAGTAAAAATAAATAAAATTGTGCTTAGCATTCTAAAATAGTGAACAAAACCAAACTATTATTCTTATCCCTTAGAACAGTGGTTCTCAACATTCCCAATGCCATGTCCCTTTAATACAATTTCTCATGTTGTGACCTTATCCATAAAATTGTTTTTGTTGCTAATTCATAACTAATTTTGCTACTGTCATGAATCATAACATAAATATCTGATATCCAACCCCTATAAAAGGGCCATTTGACCCCATCCCCCACCCAAAGGGATCAAAACTCATAGATTGAGAACCACTGCCTTTGAAATTTGGAGAAATGCACCACTGGACAGTGGTGGCAGATACCGTTAGTCTCAGTACTTAGGAGGCAGAGGCAAGTTGGATCTGTGAGTTCCAGGACAGCCAGGGCTATTACACAGAAAAAAGCTGTCTCAAAAAACAACAGCCAGGTGGTGGTGGTGGTGGTGGTGGTGGTGGTGGTGGTGGTGGTGGTGGTGGTGGCACACACCTTTAATCCCAGCACTTAGAGGCAGGTGGATCTCTGTGAGTTTGAGACCAGCCTGGTCTACAAGAGCTAGTTCCAGGACAGTCTCCAAAGCTACAGAAAAACCTTGTCTCGAAAAACCAAGAACAAACAAAACAACAAAAAAGTCAATGGTGCTGAAGAGATGGCTCAGAGGTTAAGACTGCTCTTCCAGAGGTCCTGAGTTCAATTCCCAGCAACCACATGGTGGCTCACAACCATCTATAGTAAGGTCTGGTGCCCTATTCTGGCATACAGGCATGTGTGCAGGCAGAACACCATATACTAAATACCTAAAATCTTTAAAAAACAATAAAAAAACTTTTTTTGAGACAGGGTCTCTCTGGCTGGCCTAAAACTTGCTATGTAAAGCAAGCTGTTGAAGTCAGAAACCACCTTGACCTCGGTCTTCTGGGATTGAAGAAGTGCACCACCATACCCAGATCAAAATAGATTTTCAAAATAACTATCTCTTTGTTAATTTTCAAGTGTTTGAATTAATGAAGATTCTTTGAAGTCTGCTTTTGGAATCAAAGAGCATGGATCCAAGCAGTGACTACCATTTCCTCAACCACATTTTGTGGAGAAGAGTGAAACTCACATTGGTTTCTGGCATCTTCGAGGGCGTGCTCCAGCATGTGGATCCTAACAAGATTGTTGTCCTGAAAAACGGTTTGAGTCTATTAGTCATACTCCTCTGCCTCTTTAAGAGATTAGCACTGTGTGTGGGTAATGGTTGTGGGCAGCATTAGCAGCTGGGAGAGCAGTGGTGTTCCTATTTTTAAAAAGGTTTGAGAAAAATATTAGAATACTATTCCCCAGCAGAGCAACATGGCTACCTGTGTTGGTTGGTCCTCAGTTGTGTACTCTCATTGACATTATGGTAGAAATTTCTTTTTTATTATTTATTTAATGAGTGTTTTGTCTGCATGTGTGTCGGTGTGACATATGTATGCCTGGTGTCCACAGAGGACAGAGAAGATGGGACCCCAGGAGTTGCTGATGGCTGTGAGTTGTATAGGTGCTGGGAATCAAATCCTGGTCATCTGGAAGAGCAGCCAGTGCTCTGAACTGCTGAGCCATCTCTCTCTGGCCTTGAGGGTGGTAATTTTCAACATATAGTTTTAAAAATTGGGAACTTCGGGCATTGATGGCACATGCCTTTAATCCCAGCACTCAGGAGGCAGAGGCAGGCAGATCTCTGTAAATTCAACGCCAGCCTGGTCTACAAAGCAAGTTCCAGGACAGCCTCTAAAACAATACAGAGAAACCCTGTCTCAAAAAAAAGACAAAACAAAAAATTGGGAACTTCTGTTAATTATTGTTTATATGAATATTGAAATCGTGTTATTGAAATTGATTTTGGCTTCAACAGAGGAAAAAATCACAATGTAAAGGATTAATTTGTCACAGACAAAAAGAAGATTGGAGATCGGAAGTCTCAACAGGGCCAGTCTCAACTACATAATGAGTTCTCAGTCAGCCTGGAATACCTGAGAACCTGTGTCAAAAACCCAAACTAGGGCCGGGGTTGTAGCTCAGTTGGTACAGTTCTTGCCTAACACACAGAAAGCCTGAGGTTCAAGCCCTTACCCCACATAGGACAGGTGTAGTGGCACATATCTTTTGTTTGAGGCAGGGTTTTTTTCTTTTCTCTTTGTTTTTGTTTGTTTGGTTTTTTGTTTGTTTTTGTTTTTTCAAGACAGGGTTTCTCTGTGTAAAAGCTCTTGCCATCATGGAACTCATCTGTAGACCAGGCTGGCCTAAAATTCACAGAAATCTGGCTGCCTCTGCCTCTGAAGTCCTGGGATTCAAGGTGGATGTCACTACTGCCTGACTGGCACATGTCTTTAAACCCAGAATTTTTTTTTAAGTTTCTTTTCTTTTTCCTTTTGACAGGGTCTCATTATGTAGCCTTGGCTGACTGGAACTCACTATGTAGACCAGGCTGTCCTGGAACTCAAGAAATCTGTCTGGCTCTGCCTCCCAAGTTCTGGGTTTAAAGGCCTATAAACATTACACCTGGTTCTTTAAACATTTTCTGTTGTTTTGTTGTTGTTATTGTTTTGAGAACATTCTGAGGTTTACTCTTTATTATTCATTTGTAGGGTGTAGCTCTGTAATCTAACTGACTCTACATTTCTTTGGGAAAGAAAGGATTTTTAAAAAGATTTATTTATTATGTAGACAGTGTTATGCCTGCATGTATGCTGGCACACCAGAAGAGGGCACCAGATCTCATTATAGATGGTTGTGAGCCACCATGCGGTTGCTGGGAATTGAACTCAGGTCCTCTGAAAGAGCAGCCAGTGCTCTTAACTTTTAAGCCATCTCTCCAGTCCATAAAGAAAGGATTTTTATAAAACTCATTTCAGTAATTTTAAGAGACTTCACAGTTTCTTGTAGTTTGGGGGAAGATAATATGCATTATTAACCAGAGAGTTATTTTCTATCACAGTGAAGAATGTAGAGACAGGCCGCAGTGTTCCAGGAGTGAAAATGTTTTTTGGGCATGAGATTTTGAATGGTAAGTTTTGTATTCCCTGATCACTAATTGGAATCTGCCATGGAAAACTCACTTCTCTGCCTGGTTCAGGCATTTGAAATAAAATAGAATTTGTCTTGTCTTCAGTACTGTATATACGAACTTGTTTTTTTCTCCTTTCAACCCCTGTTTATAGTATACAGTTGGGGACTCTGTGGGGGGGCTGGACTAGCTAGTGGCTTTCCAGTCGAAACTGTTGAAAATCTTGTTTGTTTTTCAGTGGAACTAATGGATGAAGCAGAGCAAGGTGCATCGGGAGAAAGGGCGTCTTCTGTTAGGTATTACGAGATAGTTTCTTCACTGTGGGATTTTCTAAGTGAGCACAGTAGAGGAGAAAGACTTAACTCTAACTCTACTGCTTCTCAGTAAAAACAAGCAGGCCAGTGTGGCTGCCTCTGAATGACACTTCCAGTGTCGATGTGAGCAGTGTAGACATGGACTACAGTCTTGCTGTTAATGAGTAGGGAGATCTATACGCAGCATCAGTAACAAAGGACAGGTTCACCTGAATGTGATTTTTTTGTAAGGATAGCATAAACACAGAAAGAGCTGGAATGGAGAAAATGAAAGACGAAGACTTAACTGTATGTGAGCCCACTTCACCTGCACCAGAGGCACCCAGCAGCTCTCTACTCAGTGACCTCAAATACTGTCCATCAGGTGAGTACTGGAACTCTGAATTTGCTAGGCTATTTTTATTGTGCCTCACAATAAAAATTGTGAATTAAGGTAAGTATTATAAATTATGTTTTTACTTGACATGGGAATACATACTGTGTACTAGGATTGGGGATGCTGCCCTCATTGAGCTCTGATACAAAAGATGCTAGGTAAGCTGAAGGAATAGGAAATATGTGTGGTGCTGCATCTGTAATCCCATCACTAAGAGGTAGAAGAAGAGGATCAAGAGTTCAAAGATAGAATTGACTGCATAGCAAGTTCAAAGACAGCTTAGGGCATATGAGACCCTGTCTCAAAAAAGAAAAACATGAGTAAAATATATAGAATGCTAGTACTCTATTACCAAATGCAGGGAAAGAGAAATAGCAGGACAGTAAGTGTGTGGATCGTGTGCTTTCAAAGTTTTGAGTGTCCAGAGCAGGTCTTGCTAAAGAAGTAACTTTTACATAAAGGCCTAAAGGAGGGGAGGCAGTGACCTACTTGGATATCATGAGAAATGCTTTTTGTTGTTTTGAGTCACGAATAGTTCTGGCTGCTGTGATATTCCTTATGTAGTGAGGTGGGCATCAATTTCCCAAGTGGTAGGATTAAAAACAAGTACCACAGCCAGGCCATGGTGGCGCACACCTTTAATCCCAGCACTCGGGAGGTTGAGGCAGGTAGATTTCTGTGAGTTCCAGGCCAGCCTGGTCTACAGAGTGAGTTCCAGGACAAGGTCCAACACTACAGAGACACCTGTCTCAAAAAAAAAAAAAAAAAAAAAAAAAGCCAACACTCCAGGCTCCTTTTTTTTTTTAAAGAAAGGATTTCAGTATATAGCTCTGGCTATCCTGGAATTCACTATGTAGACCAAGTTGGCCTTGAACTTATAGAGATCCACCTGCCACCATGCCCAATTTTTAAATTGATTAGTTTTTGTTGTTTTGTGATAGGGTCTCACTCCTATAGCCCAGGATTAATTCTGTACCCCAGGCTAGCCTCAAACTGTGTTTTGAAACAGGGTTTCTTTGTATAGCCCTGACTGTCCAGGAACTCTATATATCAGGCTGACCTCAAACACAGAGATCTGCCTGCCTCTGCCTTTGAGTGCTGGGATCAAAAGTGTGTACCACCAGCGCCTGGCTTATGTTTCTAAGTATTGAGTTACATAGTATTGAGTTACATTTATTTGTGCGTGGGGATGTGTGAGTCCATGGCATGCATGTGGCGCTAAGAGGCAGCTGGAAGGAAGGGCTCCTTTCCTTCCACCATGTGATCCGCCATTGAACTCAGGCTCTGCAGTGTAAGTGCCTTCACAACCCATAAGGACAATGCCCTAGACTCCAGTGGTAACAGTAGATCAGGTAGGAAATGCTGTACTTCTAGATGTGCGTTAAATGTGGAACTCATGGGATATATTGACAAATTAGATAGGTAGGGGTGTGAGAAGATAAAGAGGAATCAAAGGTGATGTTAGGGGTTTGAACCTTAGCATCTGCAAGTATGGAGGCAGTTGTGTAAAACAGATGAGAAAAACTTCATGTAGAAAAGGTTTTGGGGACCTGACCAGGAGTTCAGTGAATTAGTCAGGGATTGAGTGGGGGGGGGGGGGAGAGACAGAGAGAGAAAGAGAGAGAGAGAGAGAGAGAGAGAGAGAGAGGGAGAGAGAGAGAAGAGAGAGGAAGAGAGGGACAGAGGAAGAGAGAGGGAGACAGGGGAGAGGGGGAGAGGGGAGAAAGGGAGAGAGGGGAGAGTGCAACACCTCTCCCTCAGCTCTTAAGCAGTCATGTATGCAGACAAGACCACCTCTAGAGCTTGCTGCCCCAAGAGTCATTGGCTAAATGGATCGAAAACCAACAGCAGTCTAGGGATGCAGCTCAGTTAACAGGATACTTTCCTCACGTTAATGATGACCTTGGTTCCACCCCCAGTAGAGGCAGGGAGATCAGAAGTTCAAAGGCATTCTCAGCTACTTATTGAGTTAAAGGCAAGCCTGAACTACATGAGACCCTATCTCAAAGAACAAAATAATACTAATAATAATAATTAGCAAGAAATAAAACTCCAACAGTGTCTATATTACTCCTCTTCCAGAACTCGTTTATTTTAAACCGTTACTTTTTTTATGAAATATCTTTTTAAAGTGCTTGACTAGGGTAGGCAAGATGGGTCAGTGGGTAAAGATGCTTGCTGGGTGGTTTGAGTTCAATCCCCAGCATCCACATAAAGGTAGGAGAGAACCAGCTCTACAAAGTTGTCTCTGACCTCCACATCCGTGTGTGCATATGTTCACACATCCAGAACACCATACACATGCCTACATAATAATAAATGAATCCTTTCAGAAAGGGCTCAAGGTATTCAGTATATAAACCTAGGAAGTACTGGGCTATGCCAGGACATACTAGACCATTCATTCAGATTGTAATATTCTTGGTGGGACTCTGGTTTATTCTGTTGACAAACAGGGTAGTAATTAGTACTCACCATGTGTGATTGTGTGAGGGCTGAATGATAAGGAGAATGTCTAAAAGTTAACAAGAGGGACAGACATATTCAATGCCATCCTTCTCGTAGAGGAAGAGGAGGTGACATACACAGTCATTGATCAGTTCCAGCAGAAGTTTGGTGCTGCGGTAAGTACTGTCAATCATTTACAATGTGATCATCTGTCTAGATACTGGTCTGTGTCTTACAAATTGATTTTAAGGTCTTTGATGTTTTCCCTTATTAACAGAATATTTTGGTAGTTTAATTTTTTGGTTTTTTTTTTGTTTTAGTTTTTTTTTTTTTTTTGGTTTTTACGAGACAGGGTTTTTCTGTATTGTTTTGGAGGCTGTTGGTCCAGCCTGGCCTCGAACTCACAGAGATCCGCCTGCCTCTGCCTCCCGAGTGCTGGGATGAAAGGCATGCGCCACCACCGCCCGGTGGTAGTTTTATTTTTTAAACAGTTTAAAGTATTCTATTAGTGTGTAAGGACGTTTCATTTACATGTATGCTTGTGCATCCCATTCACACCATGCCTATGGAATCCAGCATAGGGCATCAGACCCTCTGGGACTGGAGTTCCACATGGTTGTGAGCTGCCATGTGGGGACTAGAAATCAAACCCAGATCCTCCTCAAGAGCAGCAAGCATTCAACTGCTGAACTATTTCTCCAGCCCCTTTGGTGGTTTTAGAATTTACCTTTGTGTGTGTGTGTGTGTGTGTGTGTGTGTGTGTGTGTGTGTGTGTGTGTGTGTGCAGGTATGAGTGTCGTGGGGTATGTGTGAATGTCAGCAGACATCTTTCAGGAGTCAGCTCTCACCTTCCACGATGTTTGAGGCAGGGTATCTTTGGTTTCTGCTACTGTGCTGTCTACTCCAGGATAGCTGACCCAAAGCTTCTGGGCACTTCTCCTATCTTTTTTTTTTTGTTTGTTTTGTTTTTTGAGACAGGGTTTCTCTGTGGCTTTGGCACCAAGCACTTTTACCCCCTGAGCCATCTCACCGGCCTTATTTACTGTTTTTGAGAGGCTCTAGCAAATATTCCATCCTGGCTTTGAACTCAGATCTACCTCCTACCTCAGCCCCTTCAGAGTAAGATCAGGGGGTACTACCATGCCAGGCTGGCCAACCTTATTTAGGGATAACAATTGGATTTTTTTAAAAGATTTATTTATTTATTTATTATGCGTACAGTATTCTGCCTGCATGTCTACAGGCCAGAAGAGGGCACCAGATCTCATGACAGATGGTCGTGAGCCACCACATAGTTGCTGGGAATTGAATTCAGGACCTTTGGAAGAACAGTCAGTGCTCTTAACCTCTGAGCCATCTCTCCAGCCCTTGTTTTTGTTTTTTTGTTTGTCAAGATGTTTCTCTGTGTATCCCTGGATGTTCTGGAACTCATTCTACAGACTAGGCTGGCCTCAAACTCAGGCCTATCTCTGCCTCCCAAGTGCTAGAATTATAGGTGTGAGCCACCATGCCCAGCTAGCAACTTGATTTTTAAAACTGGGTCTCTTATACCCTCTGCAGCCTCAACTCTCTGTGTAGCTGAGGTTGATCTTGAATTCCTGATCCTCCTGTCTCCTGATCCCATGGATTACAGGAGGACATCACCACACCCAGCTCCTGACTCACTTTTTTTTTTGAGACAGGGTTTCTCTGTGTAGCTTTGGAGACCGGGCAGGCCTCAAATTCACAGAGATCTATCTGCCTCTGCCTCCCTAGTGCTGGGACTAAAGGTGTGCACCACCAGTGCCCAGCTGACTCACATTTTCAAAGGACTGTTCAAGTTGGTGTTTAGGTATTATCTCAATGAAGTTAAGAAAATGAAGTAATTCTCATGTTCGAAGGTGGACTTCAGGAAAGTCACTGACATTCCATTTTAATTTGTTATTGATTCAGAGACAAAGTCTCCATAATTTTCTCAGCCTGTCTTCCAACTCAACCCTGCCCTAGCTTCTAGAGTAGCTGGGAAGACAGATGGCAGCACCATGCCTGTCATATATATGTCTTTAAAGGGAGATCTGACTTTTTGCTGTTTTTTTTTTCATTAACATTTGGGGTCTGAGTGATTTATCTTCCAGTTATATTTTTATACTTCTGCCAAAAGTGAATTGAGGAGCAAATATGTTCAGTGGTAATTTATATGTGTAAGCCAAACAAACTCTGGTTTGTGTTAGTCAAAATTGTAAATTTAAAACAATGAAAAAAATTTCCTGGAGGTAGTGGCACACTCCTTTAATCCCAGCATTCAGGAGACAGAGGCAGGTAGGTCTGAGTCTGAGGCCAGCCTGGTCTACAGAGTGAGTTCCAGGACAGCCAGGGCTGCATAGAAACTCTGTCTCAGCTGGGGTTAAAGGTGTGTACTACCACCGTGACCTTTCTCAACCACCCCCCCCAAGCCCAGTGTTTATCACTCAGGTTAAATTTTGTGGTTGTTAGCCTCAAAATATCATGAAATTTAGAATTATGGTCAAGTCCTAATTGAGGTACCCTGAGTGCTTGGTCCACCTCAGTCAGCAATCCTGAAGTTGTTGTGGGTGTTGGATTACCTGAACCACCATTGCAAGGGGTCTTATTTGATTAAAACATATTAGCTTGAAAGGAATCCACAGTTTCTTATCTTTATATATGTTAATTTAGTTTAATAGGATGTTGGTGGCTCACACCTTTAATCCCAGCACTCGGGAGGCAGAGGCAGGAGGATCTCTGAGTTTGAGACCAGCCTGGTCTACAATAGCTAGTTCCAGGACAGCCTCCAAAGCTGCAGAGAAACCCTATTTCGAAAAACAAAAAACCAAAAAACAACAAAAAAAAGATCCTCAGTTTATTGTCCTTAAATTATTGTTTTTATCTTTGACTGTCTATCCTCTATCCTCTCTCTCCCAAGCCCATGCACATCTATCAAACACGACCCATTTAGAGGCCTTTTTTTTCTGAATCTGTTCTTATTGTATATCTATAATCCTTTTGTGACCAGGAGAGTATTTTAAAATGCTAAGCAGGCTTGGCTAGGCCTAAAGCAGCTGGCTCCACCCCATTCCTTGGCTTCCTGAGAGTGTAGTAGCTTCATAGTGGAGGTTCTGGCAGGAGTCATTTGTATCACCAACCTCTGCGGTTTAAGTGTTTGGTAGCAGGGAATCTTCAAAGAGCCATGCAGTTTTTGCTGGTAACCCTGAGTCAGGAAGCTGTCTCTCAAAGGAGCCATTTTTCTTCTTGCCGCTAGCAAGCAGAGCCAACTAGAGAAAATGCTGCTACTAAGAAGCCATGCATAACTCTGTTGTTTTATGTTTAGAATCCCTTTTTGAGATTTTGTCAGGTTTTACGTGGAAACTCTTGTAAAAAGTTTGGGTGCCATGTGTAGTTATAAGTTTTTCTCTGTCTCTCCCAGTTCCACTGGGCCAGTTTCTCTTCCACCTGCTGGACCTTGCAACCACTTATGAAATAATCACTCAGAGGCTAATATTAAATATAAAATTGCTTAGCCAATGACTCAGGCTTATTACTGGCTAACACTCTCTTACAAATTAACCCATTTCTATCAGTCTATATTTTACCACGAAGCTCATGGCTTCTTACCTAACATCCTGCTTCTTCATTGGCTACATGGTATCTCCCTGACTCTGCCTTTCTTTCCCCATCTTTGTTTGGATTTCCTGCCTGGCTCTATTCAGCTTGGCCATTGGTCAAAACAGCTTTATTCATCAACCAATAAAAGTAACACACATTCGCAGCATACAGAAGGACATTCCACATCCACATCTACTTCCCCAAACCTCTCCCTTTGAGACAGGGTTTCTCTCTGTGTAGCCCCGACTGTCCTGGAATTCTGCAGACCTTGAACTCAGAGCTCTGCCTGCCTCTGCCTCTGCCTCTGCCTCCCGAGTACTGGGATTAAAGGTGTCCTCCTTTTCTTAACAGATGCTCCACATCAAGAAGCAGAGTGTCCTGAGTGTGGCCGCAGAAGGAACTAATGTGTGTCGCCATGGGAAACTCTGTTGGCTTCAGGTGAAAGATCTTTTCTAAATTGAAATTTTTCTTTGATTTTGTATCTGGAATGGTCTTATGGAGACTAGTTTGGCCTTGAATTCACTTCTGTATCTGCTAGCCTTTGAACCATATTCCTCCTATATACACTTCCCAAATACTCTGTATGTATACACACACACACACACACACACATGAATATATGGATATGTATATATACATGTACATATATATGCACTTACCAATGCACACATACATATATGCATGTACATCGGTTGTCCTGGAGCTTACTTTGTAGCCCAGGCTGGTCTTGAACTCAGAGATCTACCTATCTCTGACTCCCAAGTACTAGGATTAAAGGCATTTGCCACCACCACACATGACCATGCGTGTGTGCGTGTGCGTGTGCGTGTGCGTGTGTGTGTGTGTGTGTGTGTGTGTGTGTGTGTATGTGTGTGTATTTTTGTTTTGTTTTGTTTTTTGAGACAGGGTTTCTCTGTATTTCCTTGGAGCTTGTTCTGGAACTCACTCTATAGACCAGGTTGGCCTCGAACTCACAGAAATCTGCCTGCCTCAGCCTCCCAAGTGCTAGGATCAAAGGCATGCACCACCAATTCCCAGTGTATATATATTTTTAGCAGTCTTATTTCTGTCACTCAAGAAGTCACTTAGAATGTCTATTATTGGTTTCCTTTTTCTTTTTTCCTTTTGCTGGAAGTACTGGGGTTGAACCTAGAGCCTCCTATATCATAGATAAGCTATCTTTCACCGAGCTACAACCCAAGCTCTTGGAATATCCATTCTTCTATTACTCATTTATTCTTAAAAAAAAAAAAAGGCCAGTGGGTAATTGTTTCTTCTTTAATCTTAGTTATTGCAGTATCAGTATCAAAGATATCAGTAGAAAATCAGAGATACCCATAACTTCTCTCATATTAAGCAAGTTCCACCACAGAGGCACACCCTAAGATCCAGTGTATCTTTAAATTTAGGATCAATTTAAAGCTGTTTTTCCTAAATACCACTTGAATGACTGCTGCTATCTTTTTTTTGGTTTTTACGAGACAGGGTTTCTCTGTATTGTTTTGTAGGCTGTCGGTCCAGCCCGGCCTCGAACTCACAGAGATCTGCCTGCCTCTACCTCCCGAGTGCTGGGATGAAAGGCGTGCGCCACCACCGCCCGGCGACTGCTGCCATCTTAACAGTGAGGATGCTCACCATTTTCATCCCTCCTCTGATCTTGTCTCTCCCCATGGTATTGTCTGTCGTAGGTGGCCACAAACAGCCGAGTTTACTTGTTTGATATTTTCCTTCTGGGAACTCGTGCTTTTAACAACGGACTCAAGATGATCTTAGAAGACAAGAGAATCTTAAAGGTGGGTATAGAAGCTGATTCCTGAAGTAATAAGGCAGAGGCCAGGTTCTAATGCCTGTCTCTATCTTCTGACTCCTTAGGTCATCCATGACTGTCGATGGCTTTCTGATTGCCTGTCACATCAGTATGGAATCATGCTGAACAATGTCTTTGACACGCAGGTATGAAGGGTAATGCTGGAGTCAAGCCAGAACACATGGATCCTAGTAGAAAAGATTTCCCGTCTAAGAAGTGATTGTGCCAGGTGCGGTGGCACAGGTCTTTACTCCCAGGCTTTGAGAAGCAGAGGCAGATGGATCTCTGTGAGCTGAAGGCCAGTCTGGTCTATAGAGCGAGTTCCACATCATCCAGTGCTACACAGGGAGACCCTAAAAAAATAATTGAACCTATTTTTACTGGTGCCCATTCCTACCTGTTTCTTACATGAATTATGTATATGACATGTAAGAACTATAGAAATTATAGAGAAAGTTACTTAGAATCATTTAGGAGGAAGCCGGGCATTGGTGGTGCACACCTTTAGTCCCAGCACTCGGGAGGAAGAGGCAGGAGGATCTCTGTGAGTTTGAGGCCAGCCTGGTCTACAGAACGAGTTCCAGGACAGCCTCCAAAACAATACAGAGAAACCCTGTCTCGGAAAAAAAAAGAATCATTTAGCAGGAAGTCTTCTCTTTTTGCTCTACAACTGTAAAAGTAAGACAGAAGCTGGGTATACCACGACATTCAGAAACCTAAGGAAGTTAAAGGTCATTCAGAAGTCTGATGTGGAGACTTAATATGAAGTGAATAAAAACATCTCTCGTTTAGCATGTGTTTACCCCAGGGTATAGTTGTTCAGGCTATTATATCCCTTAAAAACAATAAAACCCTGTTTATGGGGCTAGCGAGATGACTAGTGAGTAAGAGCACTTGTTGCTGCAGAGGACCTGAGTTTTGTTCCCAGGGCCCACATATCCATCAGTAACTGGTTCCAGGGGACTGATGGCCTCTTCTGACCTCACAGGCACACATACATGGTACAAATACATGCATATAAACACATATAAAAACATGCATATAAAATAAAATAAAGTGAAAAAATAAAAAAAACAGTGAATAAATTTTTTTAAAAGATTTATTTGTTTATTATATATACAGTGTTCTGTCTGCATGCATGCCTGCAGGCCAGATGAGGACATCAGATCTCATTATAGATCGTTGTGAGCCGCCATGTGGGTGCTAGGATTTGAATCCGGGTCCTCTGGAAGAGCAGCTCTTAATCACTGAGCCATCTCTCCAGCCACTGAATAAATTATTTCTTAGAAATGAAAAAAAAAAAACCTATCTGGCTTAAAATACTAACTTGATGAGATCTGATTGGACTCCTGCAAGTGACCTGAAGGAAATGAGAAATACCTTGCCTAGCCTTGCTCTTAAAACTCACTGTGAAAGTGCTAAAACCACTGCCCCGTATGATTTTCCTCTTGCCTTCTCTTCTTGCTTCTTTCTTCCCTCCCTTTCCTTGGTCTTTCTTTTTTCCCTTTGGTGCCAGGGATTGACTGTTATTTTTGAGGATCAATTCCTACGTTCCGTTTCTTGTTTAAATATGTGAGTGGTTTTACTCTTCGTGTCTGTGCTTACAGAGCTTGTACATTTCTTATGTGTTCAGTTGCTTTGGGCCTCTCGTAGAGTCTTTCAGTCTGCAGTATTGACACTGCCTTTGTGCCATGCTTACTCCAGAAGTCTCAGAGGAGTCTTCATTGTTCCCATGAAGCCATCAGCATAAGTTTTTTTGTTTTGCTTTTCCAGACAGGGTTTCTTTGTAGGTTTGGAGCTTGTCCTGGAACTCACTCTATAGACTGGGCTATCCTCAAACTCACAGAGATTGGTCTGCTTCTGCCTCCCGAGTGCTGAGATCAAAGGCATGTGCCACCACCACCTGGCTTTTTTTTTTTTCAGCATAAATATTTTTAGAGGTTTTCTGGGAGTGGCTGCTCCCTTGCTTAAGAAGACCTTTGGGCTGGGTTTCTCTGTGTAGGTCTGGATTCTTGCTCTGGAGCCTAGTCTGGCCTCAGCTTTGCAGCTACCCACCTTCTTCTGCATCCCCAGTGCTGGGATTATGGGTTTGCTCTACCAAGCCCACCATCTTTAGTGGGGTTTTGATTGTTTTTTGAGATGAGGTTCATGGAGCCGTGATCTCAAACTCTATATGTAGCCAAGGATGATTCTGAACTACTAATTCTTCACCTCCTGACCCCATTGCATTTTTAGTAGCTAGTAGCCACTTACATTTGTTGGTTTATGTCTCCTTTCTCCCTCTTCAAAGTATGACATTCTGTAGGTAGGAAGCAGGAGGATTCGGCATTTCAAGGCCAGTGAGTGCAAGACCAGCCTAGACTGCATAAGGCCCTGTCTCAGGGGAGTTGGGGAGGGAGGAGTGTATGTGTGTGTAAGAGACAGAGACAGAGAGAGAGATTGGATAAATGGTTCCTCAGTTAAAAATACTTGCTGTATAATGATGAAGATTGAGGATTGAAGTTTGGATCCCAGCAGCCACAAAACAAGCTGAGTGTCCCGTAAACATCTGTAACCCCAGCTCTGAGGGAGGCAGAGACAGCAAGCTCTCTGAGGCTTGCTGACTTCCAACCTGGCTGAGAAACCACAAGCCCCAGGTTCAGAAAGAGACCCTGCCTCAAGAGAATAGTCAAAGTACAATATTCACGTACACATCTAGATGCAAACATCTGTATATACATATGCATGCACTAATAATAGACACCTACACATACATAAAAAGTACTAGAGGTGGCTCATGGTTAAGAGTTTGGTTCTTAGCAACCACATAGTGGCTTACAGCTCTCCATAACGCCAGTTCCAGAGGATCTAGTATCCTCTTCTGGCCTCCTCAGGCAACAGGCATATACTTAGTGCACACACACACACACACACACGTATTGTTTTGGAGATTGTTCTGGAACTCGCTCTGTAGACTAGGCTGGAATTATAGGTGCGCACCACCTCCTGATTCTCCTGCCTCCACCTCCCAAACACTGGGACACTGGCAAGCTCCACCATACCCAGCATAGACATAGATAGGGTGGAGTCTTTTAGCCTGTGGCATCCATATAAATTACTGTTGCAGCTTTTTAAAATCTCTGTACACGAGAGTGCAGGCGCAGAGGGACTGTGTGCGCACGGGAAGGTCAGGACAGCCTTGGGTGTGGGTCCTTGCACTTGTAACAGTCTCTGGCCGCTCACCACTGCACACACCAGGTTAGCTGGCCTGTGAGCTCCTGGGAATCCTCCTCATTTGCCCTAGCGGCACTGGGATTACAGATAGGAACCCTATCTGCCATATCTTGCTTTATGTGGGTTCTGGAGATATGATCAGATTCTCCTACACACATGGCACACGCTTTACTCACTGAGCCATCTCCCCAGCCCAGGATAGCAATTCCTGGTTTTATTCATGTTCTCTACCAAAACGTTGCCAGTGACCGGTAGTTTTTGAGCAGCCAGCTCTGCTGCCTTTGTCCTGCCTACTGTATCCTTGTTGTATATTCAATAAACTTGTCTTTTTTATTCTGAAGAAAAAAAATCTTAAATTCTTTGTTTTCCCATACTCTGAAGGCACCAAGGTGTAATAACAAAAAGAAAAGTAAATAAAGAATGCAGAGCCATGTTATCTCCTAGCTTTTTTTTTTTTTTTTCAAAATAAATTGACTGACCTGCTTTAAATTTACCTATGGAATTGCAGGCGTGTACCAGAAAGTCTAGTTTTTGTTTGGGTGGAGGCCAGGGTCTGGGGCATGCTGGGTAAGCTTGGTACCAGCAGAGCTACATCCTAGCCCCTACAGGTAACGTGTCTCAGGGTATTTCTGACATGAGATAGTTTTCTGTGTGTTGTTTCATTTTCATTTGCTGTTAGGAGATTGATTGTTTTCTGTTTCACACCTCAGGTAGCTGATGTCCTTCAGTTTTCCGTGGAAACGGGTGGTTTCCTTCCCAACTGTATCAGTACTTTGCAAGAGAGTTTAATCAGACACCTTAAAGTTGCGCCTAAATATCTCTCCTTTTTAGAAGAGAGACAAAAACTTATTCAGGTGAGTAATAAAGATGTGTCATTTAAGCTTCCTGGGCTCTGCACAGGACTGTTAGTCTATTCAATAGAGAAGTGACAGCTGTCGTATAATCATGGGCATTAGCTGTGCCAGTGAGAAACAGTTTGTGATTTCAAGTGGATAGAAACCAGAAGCCAGATTTGTTGATTATAAATTACAAAGTACTCTAAAATACATTTTCAAGTTGGGATAGGGGGAAATTTTGTATTAAAATTTGAATTAGGACATTGGAACCAAAATCATTTTAGTTGCTTTTCCGAAAGCTACATAAATTTTTCTTTAATGAATGTCTCAGGGAACAGTTGCTGTGAAGAGACACTATGACCCCGTGACCACAGCAACTCTTTTTTTTTTTTTTTTTTTGAGACAGGGTTTCTCTGTATTGCTTTGGAGGTTGCTCTGAAACTCGCTCTGTAGACCAGGCTGGCCTCAAACTCACAGAGATCCACTTACCTCTGCCTCCCAAGTACAGCAACTCTTACAAAGGAAAACATTTTATGGGGTGATTACAGTTTCAGAGGTTTAGTCCATTGTCATCATGGAGGGATAAGGCAGCATGAAGGCAGACATGGTGCTGGATAAGTAGCTGAGAGTTCTATATTTTGCAAGCATCAAGAAGTGACCTGAGACCCTGGGTGAGGCTTGAGCACATATGAGACCTCAAAGCACACCTCCATAGTGACACAACTTCATACCTCTTAATAGTGCCACTCACGTTGGGGGCCATTTTCTTTCAAACCACCATACTGCATAATATCCTTACATGTAAACCTGGGTTGTGAATATATTACCTACAAAGTTGGTCATTGCTAAAATCTATTTACTCTAGCATTTTTCCATTCAGTGGTGCTGGGGAGTGACTCAGGACTTAGTATACCGTAGGCAAGTGCTCTACCACTGACCTATACTATGCCCCAAACCCTCCCTCCAACTTTGTGGGTTTTTGTGGCACTGGCAAGGAAACCTAGGCTCCTAAACATAGTAGGCAAGCTACGTAACTGGCCGGCATCCTCCGGCTTTGAGGGAGAAATCCTGATACACCAGCCTCCCTCCCAACCCTACTTTTCTCTGACTCATAGACACTGTATATGTGAGGTGTATGTACTTTCTCAGGGGCTACTGATAATAAGAAAATAGAAAGTAGTAGACAGCAATGGCAATGTTTTAAATTAAGTTAGTTTTTCCTGGCTGTAGCCCTGGATGTCATGGAACTCACTCTGTAGACCAGACTGGCCTCAAACTCAGAGATCTGCCTGCCTCTGCCTCCCAAGTGCTCAGATTAAAGGCGTGCGCCACCACCACCTGGCTAAATTTTACTTATTATTAATTAAAAATGGCTGGGCAGTGGTAGTACACACCTTTAATCCTAGCACTCACACTCAGGAGGCAGAGGCAGGCAGATCTCTGTAAGTTTTTTGTTTTTTGTTTTTTTTTTTGTTTTTCGAGACAGGGTTTCTCTGTGGCTTTGGAGGCTGTCCTGGAACTAGCTCTTGTAGACTAGGCTGGCCTCGAACTCACAGAGATCCGCCTGCCTCTGCCTCCTGAGTGCTGGGATTAAAGGCGTGTGCCACCAACGCCCGGCTAGATCTCTGTAAGTTTAAGGCCAGCCTGGTTTACACAAAGAAACCCTATCTTGGGAAAAAAAAATGGTTTTCTTTCTCTAGGAGAATCCAGAAGTGTGGTTGACAAGACCTCTTCTACCCCCTTTACTGAAAATCTTGGCCTTGGAAACAACCTACTTGCTTCCACTCCGCTTGGTGCTCTTAGATGAGATGATGTCAGACTTAACCACACTGGTGGATGGGTACCTAAACACCTATCGAGAAGGTTCTGCAGACCGGCTTGCAGGCACAGAGGTAGGTGCAGCTTTCTGTGTGTTCTGAATTCACTGTCTCTTTCTCACATAGTGCTATCCACTGTTGGGTTGGGGACTCCCTTGTATGTTTGCAGTGCCAGAGATCAAACACAATACTTCATATGTTCTCAGCAGACCCTCTACTAATGAACGACTTGCACAGTCCTTTCTAATTTTTGTTTGTTTATTTTAAGAAAAAGTCTGACTGCATTGTCTAGGATGGCCTTGATCTCTGGCCTGCCTCATTGAGCAGCTAGGATTACAGTCTTAGGACACCAGATTTGACTGTAATACCTACTCTTCACAAATAAAGCAATTTTCATGGGGTAGCTTTCTTTCTTCAACAATGTATTCCCTGCATCCCTCGAACTTGCTATGTAACTGAGTTTCTGATCCTTCTGCCTTCATCTGCCCAATTCTGGGTTGTAGGCATATGCCACCATGTCCTGTTTTTTTTGTAATGTTACATATCAAACTCAGGGTTCATTTATGATAGGCATGTATCCTGCCAACTGAACTACAACCTACATCTCCCTCTTTTTACCTTTTAAAAAATTTATCTTTTATCTATATGTGTGTGTCTGAATGTGTATATGCATGCATGGGGGTATGGATGGAGACCAGCAGAGGGCAGCAGATTCCGAGAAAGTGGAGTTATAGATAATTAGCCATCATGTGGATGCTGGCAACCAAACCCTGGGTCCTCTGAAGGGCAGCAATTTCTCTTAATCAATGAGCCTTTTCTCCACCTCCTCATTTTGTTTTTTCAGCAAAGTCTTAGCCTCCACCACCTCTCAAGTGCTAGGATTACAAGCATGTGCCACCATGTTGGCATTAATACATTGTGTGTGTGTCTGTGTCCTGTGCATGCATGTCTGTATAGTATATCCATGTTTGTACATGTGGAGAGCTAGCCTGCACTTAAGATTATGGAGACCAGAGATCAGCTTATATTTTCTCCTGCTGTTTTTCACTTTACTACCCCCACACCCCCAACTTTGGTTTTTCCAGACAGGGTCTCTCTGTGTAGCTCTGACTGTCCTGGAACTCACTCTGTAGACCAGACTGGCCTCGAACTCACAGAGATACCCCTGCCTCTGCCTCCTGAGTGCTGGAACTAAAAGTGTGCTCCACTACTGCCAGGCTAAGACAGATTTTTAATTAAAAATAGTAAGTACCGGGCATTGGTGACACACGCCTTTAATCCCAGCACCCAGGAGGCAGAGGCAGGTGAATCTCTGTGAGTTCCAGGATAACCTGGTCTACAGAGTGAGCTCCAGGACAGCCTCCAAAACAATACAGAGAAACCCTGTCTTGAAAAACCAAAAAATAAATAAATAAATAAGATAGAGCCGTACATGGTGGCACACGGTTTAGTCCCATCACTCAGGAAGCAGAGACAGGTGGATCTCTGAGTTTGAGGCCAGCCTGGTCTGCAGAGGGAGTTCCAGGACAGACTCCAAAGCTAAAAACAAAAACAAACTAACAACAACAACAACAACAAACCCTGTCTCGAAACAAAACAAAAGATAGTAGAGCTGGTATGTAACTCATTTGGTAGAGTGCTTGCCTAATGCATAAAGCCCACATACACGGGGCATGGTGGCTCACACCTATAATCCTAGTACACAGGAAGATCACAATGTCAAGGTCATCTGGAACTACATAGTGAATTCTATGCCAGCCTGAGCTACATGAGACCCTGTGTTAAACATACATCAACAAAAATTTACTCCAAGTCAGGCAGTGGTGGCGCACGCCTTTAATCCCATCACTTGGGAGATAGAGGCAGGAGGATCTCTGTGAGTTCGAGACCAGCCTGGTCTACAAAAGCAAGTTCCAGACAGCCTCCAAAGTCACAGAGAAACCCTGCCTCAAAAAAAGCCTTCCACCAAAATATATGCACATACCATAACAGTAATTCTAGTCCTCCAGTGGCTCTCCTTCTGAGTATGATGAGTTCCAGGCAAGTATGGGTTACATAGTAAGTATAATATTATTTTGGGCTGCATGGTGAGACCCTGCCCTCAAAAAAGATACTGAAAAATATGTAAAACCATGTTACCATTTGAACAGAATAATTTTAGAAAGTTAGAAAATTCATACTTTAGGAACATTGTAATCTAGGACTTGGGAAGTTGGTCATTGGTAGAGTACTTGTCTACCTTGTACAAAGATGGTGGAATCCCAGTTACCATACACATGAGAAATCATCCATTCGCGTGCGCACGCGCGCACACATACACACACACACAAATACATACCCATGAGATCACATATACACTGACTGTACCTGGATATTACATCTTTTCAGAGGGTGTACTTTTTGTTGTTGTTGTTTTGTTTTGTTTTTCAAGACATGGTTTCTCTGTGTAACAGCTCTGACTGTCCTGGAACTAGCTCTGTAGACCAGGCTGGCCTCAAACTCACAGAGACCCAACTGCCTCATGCTTTCTGGGATTAAAGGTGTCCACCAGCACTACTTGGCCACAGAGCTCACCTTCTAAGCCAATTTAAGCCACGCTGGGAATCTTACATTTCCTATATTTACACACACACACACACACACACACACACACACACACTTAAATACTTAATTTTCTTAAATATTTAAATTACTTAAAACAATACAATCAAAATTTAAAGGTAGTATTATACTGGGAACACTAGAGGGCATTATAAGAGCACATTTGGATAAACTCACTTGCCCAGTTTCCTCATGGGTAATTGGAGGGATTTTAGGGACCATGTAAACCTGTAAACCTGTAAACCTGTGCCTCTTTGCTTTCCAAGCCTGCCTGTATGGAGCTGCCAGAGGAGCTCCTTCAGCTCCAGGACTTCCAGAAGCAGCGGCGAGAGCGAGCTGCCCAAGAGTACAGAGTGAATGCTCAGGGTCTCCTCATAAGGCCCGTGCTGCACCCAAGGAAGCCAGGGACTCGCACATCAGGGAGAGAGGACCGAGTCAATGGCTTTTTGTTTTGTAAAACTTCTGGCGTGGACAAAGCTCCACGCTTTCTAAGTCACAAATCTTACAAAGATGAGAGTTTTTTGGATAAAGCGTCTAAACAAACCACTGCAAAGTCTTATACTCTGCCTCCCGTGAAGGAAGGCAAAGCCAGCGAGGATTCTGAGAAACCAGTATGTTGGGAGTCCACAGGGCCAGAAGACCCGAGAACCCAGAAAGCTTGCTCCCTGCCTCCCACGCATGAGCTGCAGTCACACTTTTCTTTGAAGGAGGAGATAGAGCAGTTGCTGCTGGTAGAAAACAAGGGAGCTTTACGAAACCCAAAGCAAGACACCTCGGTGTCTCCTCTTCCTCAGGAAACGTGGGTGGCACCAAGTAACACCTTCCATCTGCCCGAAAAAGCCGAGATGTCTACACTTCCACCCTGCCCAGCCCTAGAGAAGACAGACTCGTGGATAAGCCCATCTCCCAATCTGTTCTAGGATTTTAGGTTTGCTGAGTCCATGAAGGAGACTCATCTGCTCTACCTGCAGAGTCCTTGTAAGTTCCTCCTGGGGGGGTAGGGTGGTTAGGTCTCAGCCACAGGGGCAAATGGTAGCCTTTGGTTTAGTGCTTCGTCCTGGTGTCTGGATGAGAATGGAAGGAATAAGTGAAATAATGGACCAAGTCAAGCTTCTGATTCTGTCAGTATATGCAGAAATACTCCCTGATTAATTAATTGTCATAGTTTGGTTTAGGTGATTAGAGAAGTGAACATGCTTGGGCTCAGTGTCTGGGAGGATTGTGGGCGGTTCCTGTGAATGGTAGAGCTGATACAGCCTGAACAGGCTCTGGGTCACTCTGCAACATCGCCAAAAAAACAAAGAGTTGTGTTTTTTTATGCTTGCTTGGGTTCAGTTTGGGTTTTTGGCCTTTATAGTGAAATAAATCTAAAAACCCTTAATTATAGGTTAAAAAAATATATCACCCAATTTCACCAGTACTTTTCACTTTAAAATGTTACTTGAATTGTGAATTTTGTATGTATTGTATCGAAGGCAGAGAATAAGTAATGCCGCTATAGGGTTCTGTCTCACAATTTCCTTTATATTTCAGTAACCATAAGGTTTTGTCCATTTTCCTCGCAAAGCAGGGGTGCTAGTTTCTGTTGTTATTCCCTTGATATAAAATCTGGGTCCATTATATTTGCACAGAGAGAAAGAAAAGCGGCTGGAAAGGAGGGCATTTGTGTTGTTCATAAGTTACTCTTAGTCTTTCATGTAAAACAACCAATAAACCTGCCTTGGCATCAGATCGTCTCTCTTTTTTCCCTTGTGGTGTGAGTGTGGAAAATTTAGAGTAATATCTGAATTCCTAGGTCTGGAGTCTTGCTTAGAAACCTGTACTCTGGCTGGACACAGGGCACACACTTCTGTCCCAGCCCTTGGAAGCTTAGGCAGGAGAGTAGCAGTTTGAGGCCACCTTATGCTTCACTAAATGCAAATACTCAGCTTCACTAAATTTTAAAATCTGTCTACCACCTGGACAGGACTGTTACTGCACCTTTGGGATGCGGGGGACAGTCCAGGATCAGCAACATCACTGGACAGCCAGTTGTTTTATGAGTGTCACTGAAGGAATTGGTGTTCCCTCTCAGATTCCAGACCCAAAGCAGGGTGGAGTGGCCCACCACTGTAACCCTAGCACTTAGGGAGAAGCAGGGGGACCCAAACTTCAAGGTCATTCTCAGTTCTGGAGTGAGTTCACAGCCTACCTGAGTATAGGAACCCATCTCAGAAACAAAACAAATGAAATGCTCTTAAATGAAAAAGAACTTTTAGGGCTGTTCTTCCAGAGGTTCTGAGTTCAATTCCTAACAACCACATGGTGGCTCACAACCATCTATCATAGGATCTGACACCCTCTCTTGATAGGCAGGTATACATACAAGAGCATTCCTAGATAAAATATAAGTGAATAAAAATTTTTAAAAAAGAAAAGGATTTTTAAATAAAGTTTTAAACTTTTTATTTTTATTTTATGTGCATGAGTGTTTCCACTACATGTATATCTGTCCACATAAGCTTAGAAAACAGGAGGGCATTGAATCCCAGCCCTAAACAAGACATTTGTACCATTTCTTCTAAGACTCAGGGAACAGCAGGAGGCAGAAAAAGATCAAGAGCCAGAGACAGGCTGGGCAGTGGTGGTGCACACCTTTAAACTCAACTCTGGGGAGACAAAGGGAGGCAGATCTCTGTGAGTTTGAGGCCAGCCTGCTCTGCAGAGTGAGTTGCAGGACAGCCAAGAAATACTACACACAGATAAACAAAACAAAACAACAAAAAAGAATCACAGACAAAGGGCTAAAAATACCATCTTCTGGGCAAGACAGTCATTGCAACATAAACTTAACATCTGTCGATGACTGCACAAGAACAGGCCTGTCAGTCAGCCTGGGCATAACCCTCACTACTGAACTGTTTCCTGCGTACAGATTCATGAAGCAGGGACTCATTGTCTTTAGTTGTATACCTACTAGTGACCCCACCAGGCTCTGATGGGTCGTTCCAACTCAGTGGTCAAGTGGTCATACAGCTGGCCCTGGTAAACTAAATGGGTTTCAAAAAAGAATCTGTGATAGGAACTTCTAGAGAGAAGGGGGCACTTGAGGAGGAGGGGAGGAAGATGTGAGTCCCTGTGTGTGTGAGACAAAGAGAGAGAAATTAAGCAACATAAACATACATGAGTAAAATTGTCAAAAACAAAAAGCAATGTATGGATGGCAACCCAACAAGTTGCACAAAGAGAGAACCCTTTTCTTTCTTCCTGTCCCTTCCTGGGACTTTTTGTTCCTAATGATGTTTGCCTTGGTTTGTTTTTATTACAAGGTTCTTATTTACAGTACTTAGCATTTAGTTGTCAGGTGGCTTTCAAGTTGTAAACAGTAATGCACTTGGGGGAATTTGAGGACTCCAGAATGCAGAAGTAGTCACTGAGACCACTGATGCAATATGGAGGCATCAAAAGCTCTAAGCCTCTAGTTTACATTGTAGTCAGATGATTCTCATCAACTGTTTACATTCAACAGCTGTCATGGTTCATTAAGAAAAGGAAGAGGGCAAGTTAAAAATTAGAGAGAGAGAACTGGGCTGCTGTAGGACTCTGTTTCTGCTTAGCCTACTGTTCTCTTTGTAAATTATGTATTTATTTTATGTGTAGGGGTGTTTTGCCTGCATGAATGTCAGCGCACCACATGCATGTAGTGCCCACGGAGGCCAGAAAAAGGGAACTGTATCTCTTAGACTGGAGATGGTTGTGAGCCAACATGTGGGTTCTGGGACTCAAACTCTGGTCCTCTGGAAGAGCAGCCAGTGTTCTAAAATGCTGCTCCATCTCTCCAGCCCCCATCCACTGTTTTCTTGCTGTATTCTGAATTTAAAAAAAGGGGGGGAGGGTACAGATGCTCGGCAGGTAAAGGTGCTTACCATCAGGTCTGATTACCTAAGTTCAGTCCAGCATTGATAGAGGCTGCAAGTCCTCCTCAAAACAAACAAAAACCCTTAGGATTCTGTGGGAGACCTGGATGCAAATGTTTAACTAAAATAACAGTTATTTAACTAAAATAACAGTTAACGTTTGATGTGTTCAAGATGATGTCGAAAGAGAGGCGGATAAGCTGTAGAGAGAAGAGGACACTTGCTCTGGAACTGAAGTGTGTGGGCATGCTTCTTGAGAGGTGGGAGGGGTGCAGCAGGATGAGTTCACTGATGAGAAAGGAGAAAACAAGCAGGGTCTTGCTGGGCAGTGGTGGCACACGCAAAGAAACAAAACAAGAAACAAAAACAACAAACAAACAAAACCATGCAGGGTCTGACATCAGGGACGTAGATAGCACCCGTGTAACTAACTGCTCTGGGTTAGGGGTTTTGTGGTTTTTCTTTTCTTTTTTTTCTTTCTGGTTCCAAGCCAAAGAACTGACTCAGCTAATGTAAACAAAGCGATAATTTATTGGAAAGATGAGTGGCTCTCAGAAATGATGGGGAATTTAGAGAAGTGAACTTGGAGATAGAGTCAAGGGTGCAGCAAAGCTGGAGGTGGCAGGAACTGCTCATCTGTGAGTGCCAACACAAATGTTCCTGTCACTGAATAATCTGACTTGCAATTCAAAGTCTCCGGGACAGGAGGGGAGATGGGAACTGGGACCATTAGTTATAGTAAGAAGTGTGTTATTACATAGTGGGTGAGTGGGTGACATAATTTAGTGTACATTACAAAAAGCTATAGGAAATGCTATGATCTTGCACTTAAAAAAGGATGTGTGAAATTCCACACTTGGGGGATGGAAGCAGGAGGAGTGAGAATACAAAAAGTCTAGGGGCTGGAGAGATGCCCTGGGGGGTTAGGAGCACTGGCCGCACTTTCAGAAGACTCAGGTTCAATTCCCAGCACCCACATGGGGCTCAGAAACACCTGGAACTGTAATCCCATCCTCTGGCCTCCTCAAGCACCAGGCACACCTGTAGTGTATCAGAACTCATAGTAGTTCTAATAGGTCTTAATAATAAAAACCCAGAGTCAGCTATCAGGGCAAGCGCTGAAAGGTCAGAGAAGTAAAGGAACCAGTCACAGGAGAGACCTTTACCTCTACTGAATCCTCAGAGCAAAGGGGTGATCCTGTCCCTAGGAATCCTCAGACTGAATGCTGTTTCTACAAAACCTCTGACCGAATGTAATGTGCCCCTGTCTCTTCCTGCGTTATATTCCTGTCTAAGCTCAGCCATATTTCTCCGGTCGTCACCTACCTAGTGCTGGGATTAATGGTGTGTGCCACCACTGCCTGACCTCTATGGCTAACTAGTGGTTAGCTCTGCACTCTGATCTTCAGGCAAGCTTTATTTGTTAAAACACAAACAAAATATCACTGCAACTCATAGCAGGAGAATACAAAGAGTCTGGACTACATAGGTAGACACAGCTGCCAGGAAAAACAACTAAAATACCTGGACCTGAGGACATGGCTCAGTGGGTAAAGTGCAAGATGAAGACCTGAGTTTGGAATCCCAGGACCCATGTAAAAAGCCGGACATGGTGGCTCCCTGGGGCTCACTGATCAGCCCGTCTAATCAATTGGTGTGCTCAAGTTTCATCAAAGAATCTTTGCTTAAAAATACATTCACAGAGCCGGGCGTTGGTGGCACACGCCTTTAATCCCAGCACTCGGGAGGCAGAGGCAGGTGGATTTCTGTGAGTTCGAGGCCAGCCTGGTCTACAAAGCGAGTTCCAGGACAGCCTCCAAAGCAATACAGAGAAACCCTGTCTCAAAAACCAAAAAATAAAAAATAAAAAAAAAATACATTCACAGAGCTCGGCGGTAGTGACACATGCCTTTAATACCAATACTCAGGAGGCAGAGACAGGCAAATGTTAGTTTGAAGCCAATCTGGTCTACAGAGACAGTCAGGACTGTTACACAGAGAAACCCTGTCTTAAAAAAAAAAACAAAAACCCACAGGCACACTCACACTTACACACACAGTGGAAAGTGTCAAACCATCTCATGCACCATACCTATATGTACATTCACTCAAAAAGAAATAGAAAGGAGGAAGGAAGGAAGGAAGGAAGGAAGGAAGGAAGGAAGGAAGGAAGGAAGGGCCAAGAAAATGAAAATTAGCTAGGAAGAAAATCAGAGTAGTATCCTTGTGGTGGTTTGAGAGAAAATGGCCCCTAAAGGGAGAGACACTATTAGGTGTAGCCTTGTTGGGATAGGAGTGGTCTTGTTGGAGAAGTGTGTCACTGTGGAGGCAGACTTTGAAGTTTCATATATGCTCAAACCATGCCCAGTGAAACAGTTTATTTCCTGTTGATTGTGGATTAAGATATAGGACTCTCAGCTCCTTCCCAGCACCATATCTGCCTATACACCACCATGTTGCACCATGATGATAATGGACTAAACCTCTGAAATGGTAAGCCACCCCATTAAGTGGCTATAACTCTGGGTCAATGCCTGTAGCCTCCCCATTCATGGTCTCACACAATTAAAGATGAAAATAAATCTTGAAAAAAAATAAAATTCTGTACACCATGTCCACATCCTCCTGTGGTAGTTTGAATATAATTAAGCCCCACAAGCTCAGGGAGTGACACTATTGAGTGGTGTGGCCTTGTTGGAGGAAGTGTGTCACTGTAGGGGCAGGCTTTGAGTTATCCTATGCTCAAGCTACTCCCAGCATCTCAGTCTACTTCCTGTTGCCTTCGCTCATGATGATAATGGACTGATCCTTGAACTGTAGCAAATCACCCAAT